AAGTGGATTAGATTCCTTTGGAATTGAATACGAGCGATCAGATTGCTTTGAAAATAAAAAAAAAGGTTACTCCTTTCTCGACAAATGGAAGCTCGTATGCACCAAGAATGATACGCATCTATCGGTCGATGTGGAATGCTACGATTTACGAGAGAATCGTGGAAGAAGAAAGGTTTCCCTCTATCTTTTATTTTTTTATTTTTTGAAAACAGGAATAGATATCTTTCGTTTTTGCATTTTGATCGTACAATGGTATCACGTACCAATATCGCAACGATTTCTATTAGATCAGATGAAATATACAACTCGTATCAATGTAAACGATCTTTTTCTATTTCTTTCTTGACTATTTCTTATTCCATCTTTGACATTTTCTTTCTTGTGAATTTAATCGATTTGCACTTATCGATCTTACCAACGTATAAAAATATTTTTTTTTATGAAATTAAAGTTACATATTTAACTTAAAACTAATCGATTTGTTCAATTATTCGTAAGTATATTAGAATTAAGATATTCTTTTATTTTCTTACTTTTAATTTGTTTTAATATTTTTGTTGTATCTTTCTCTTTTTCTTTTTCTTTGAACGTTCCAAGAAAACATTATTGACTTTACTCATAACAACGACATATCATCGATCCTTCTCACAATCCTATTATTCTCGGTGTTAGGGGCCGAGCATGCTCTCAATAATTTTTATACATACCAAAGACACGCTGCTGTCTCAGCATTTCCTCCGAAGTCGTAAAATTGAAGAATGAACCTATCTACCCTTTCTTCCCTCATTTGTAATTCTTACAAGAATATAAAGTCGCTTTTTTTTCTTCTAAAAATTATACTTTTAAATTGATCAAATATTTCTAAACATCTTATCATACGATATATCTAAAATTAAATATAAAAATATATTTTAATAACATAAATAAATATTATTATAAATATTTTAATAACATTGATCATGATATTATTCATTAGAATTTCATTAAGTAATAAATTATATTTTACAATGTTTCATAATAAAATTTACTATATCAATTAGTTTTATATGATTTTTGATTTTTCAAATATAAGAGAACAAAAAATATCTAGAATAAATTAAAAGGAATAATAAATTCATCCTAAAACAATATTGTAACAAAATTTATATTAATGAAATACATACGAATACTTGGAAAAATATTGAAATTAAAAATGAAATATAAAAAAAAAAAGAAAAGAATAAAAAGAATATGATTTACAATTCATTTACAATAGTTCTTTTTCTTCTCAAATTTTTGATTATAAATAGTAAATGAATTTTAACAACGTTAGAAGAAGAAGAAGAAGAAGAAGAAGAAGAAGAGGAAGAAGATGTAGATATATTTATTAATTAGTATATAAAGATAGAATTGTGCGAAAAAAGGTGTAAGAAGATAAAAGATAGGGTGTATGCCTTCGTTAATAGGATAACGTCTTAAGAAAGGCTTCGTTTAAACTATAAACCTCCCAACTACTCTTTTCTATTCCTCTTTCGTCGCGTGATCTTCGATCGGCGTTCGACATCATGCTTGTTGTTGCTCGAAGAAACCGATACACAAACCGGTGTCCCCTTTTCTAGATCAAATTCCGTGCAAGGGTTAATCGCCTTCTTCGTAATACACTCAGGTTCTACACGTTCTACACGTTCTAACGATTCTGTTTTAATCTTTGTTTCTTACTTATTCCAAGTCATCATCTATTCACCCTAGTAGCACAAAATATTGAAAAATATTGAATACATGTGTATTTAATATTAAAAAGAGATTTAATGATTTTATTTATCTTTTATCTTTTATTTTAATATTTATTTTTCATTATGTCAAGCATGAGCTAATAAGAAAATTATTATATAAAATTATTATTTATTTTTTAAATAAAAATATCCAAATTTTTATTGGATTAATTAATTCACATCATCTATTCAATTATTCGACATTGTAATTTTATTTATCTTTTATCTTTCCATTATTAATATAATATCAAGAGTTAATGTTTTAAATTATTATTCTTTATTATTACTGATGAACAGTATTTTAATTATAAAAAAAAAAATATATTTATATTTTATTATTTTTCATTATGTCGAGCATAAACTGATAAAAAAATTATTATAATACTTTGTTATTATTATATTCAAATTTTTATTGGATTAATTAAAATTCATTTCTTTTTGTTGACAAATTAATAATTGTTTGAACATTATGATATATAAAAATATATAGATTAAACATAACATTAATTATAATTATAATTATTCATATATCACTAATTAATTCACCGTAATGTACAAAAAAGTTGAAACACTCTATAAAGATGAAATAAAATAACAAAAATAAAATATGAAAGATAATTAAATCAGATAGAAATGTAGAATAGTACAAATGAGAAATGAATAAATTCTTCATTACCATTATACTTATCTCAACCATTACCATTATCATTATTATCATCTTACAATTCAACTGAAAACTAAATCTGCATATAAATGCATATAACTAATAGTAAAACTCATAATTATATATATATATATATTATATATATGTAAGACACGTTTTCGTTTACGAGTAAATGTGTCTCTCTAATATAGAACGGTGTCCTAAATGTCCGAAAGTAGGGTACTAGTGACAAGGGGAATTTGGGGATGGCTTCAAGCGCTCTCTAGGATGGTCCATTGCGATACAAGAGGGGTGTTGAGGGGTTCAACAGAGAGTAGGATTGGTGAGAAGGGGAAGGAAAGGGGGGGAGAGAGAGAGAGAGTGTTGGATCACTGAAGGAGGTGAGGAAAAGGGGAAGGAAGAGTAGGATCACTATGAGGGGGTGAAGAAAAAGAGGGGTGAGAGAGAGATGAGTACGAGGAGGTCGGGGGTAGGGACGAAGGATGAGTGAGGGCTGCGGAATGCTTTCGTTATGGGAGGAAATTACGTCACTGCTCCAGAGATGGGGAGTGGTGTAACTAGAACTCCCACCACAAATATCCAACACCATTACCACCACCACCATACCACCACYATTCGTGATGTTATACGGCACTGCTCGTTCCAGATAATCGGGTCAATCGGTACTATTGGTCGTTTCTCTTCTTCTTCTTTTTCATTTTTTTTTTCATCTCTTTATTTTCTTTTTTTTATTATTCCCTCGTCGAACTATCGACCTCCGACGAGCTTGGATTATAATGTGCGTAAGCTTTCGATGTTATATATTCCGTGTGTTGGAGATAGATAGACGATAAACAGCGAATCGGAACGATATTACTTCGACAATTATCTTATCTCTACCGATCGTTTATTTCATGTACTTTTTTTTTCTTTTTTTCTTTTTATTTTATTGATCGATCATGATGGAATTGGTTTAGTTTATGTTTGATTTTTATTATTGTGTTTTGTGATGGTAATCTTATCACAAAATTGGAATCTGATTTTTTTTTAAAGGTTACTTTTTTTTATTAAATATTTTTAATATTGGATAAGCCAAGAAAATTAGATTTCAAGAAATTTTTAAAAAGAGAATATTTAATAATAGTATATTCCTATATTTAATAGTTTAAAATTGTTCTCATGGAATAACAAACTCTATTAATGGTTGTAATGTTGCACAAAGCCGTCATTGTTATAATTTTAACATTTAGGAATAAGGATTAGAATATTTTTAATGAAAAAAAAACTATATTAGAGTATTATAACAAATAAAACGTAAGATATTTTTAATTACAAAGAGATTACATTCATTAGAATATAAATTATTTAACATGTTAGCATTACTTATTGATCAATTCAATTGCATATATATGCATATGCATTTTTTTAAATGGAAAAGTTTAATTTAAAATAAAAATAAAATAATATTCATATATTATAAGTTGTGTTATAATCCCAAGTGAGTTGAAAGAAATGGTGGATGGAGGAACTAAGAGAATCGATTTACAAACCGTCTCGTGTATTTTAAGGCTGTTCCTCTTTCTCTCCCTCTCTCTCTCTCTTTTTCTCTATTTCTTTCTTTCTTATGCAATAGAGATATGGAAACAGACTGATGTTTGTTCTCTTTCTCTTTTTCTCTGTCTCTCTTGGTGACAGCTTTGTCTATAACAGACAGTATATATATCATCTACATATGTAGATGTTTGTATGATGCTACTCATATATATATATTTGAATATACGCATATATATAAATACACACATATGGTTAGATATATGTATATGTATAAACGTGGCATTTGCATCGACGTCGTTAGTAACGTCTAACGAGGTAGACTTCACGAATGATCCTCGCACAATCTTGGATGAGCACCAAAAATATGTATTACGTAGAATCTAATGTCTACCATAATTCCGTTTTTAGTAAAAATGATCAAAATAATTCTCACATATTTTATATCTCGTTTAAAAACACCTACGACTTTTTATACAAAAGATATGTATATATATAAAATAATGATTATTATCATCTTACGTTATTGTCAAACATTTATTTTGTCTATTAGAAAAATATATAAATAATGTATACAATCTCATGAAAAAAATAAAAGATAATAATTATATATAATCTTACGTTATTTTAAATAATTTATTTGTTTAAATAAAAACAAAATTAATTATGGTATATGTTATAATAAGATGAGATTATATTTTTTTTTCTTTTTTTAGAAATATCCTTGAAAAATTGATAATCGTTTAATTTCAAACTTACGTGACTCTCTCTCTTTAGATTATCACGGAACTAAAAAAAAAAAAACAAAGCATTTTAAAGGTCAAATGGTGTCACGCGTGTGCATGTATAAAAACTTTGTTTATATTGTACAATATGGTGAAGGAAGTGTGACGATGTGATTATTCTACGTGTAAAAATAAATCGATCAAAAAAAGAAAAAATAAACAATTTTTTTTTTTTGATCGAGGCCACCCTTTCTAAGAAAATATTTGATGCGTATAAAAATAATTACATATCTTTTCTAACCTTTTTTGTTTTGATCTTATGTATTACAGAAACAAGGCATAATAGTACGACAATTGGAAGAGGAACTTAGATTAAGGATGCGTAATCCGAACGTTGAGATGCAACAACAAATGGAAGTTTTGTTTAACGAAAATGAACATCTGACACGAGAAATTGCCATACTTCGTGACACGATAAAGGTAAAGTGTGCGCAAATACATATTCAAAATAATTATTATATTAAATAACGATTAGTTTTTGTTAGATTTTTCTTGAATATTTCATTTTATTTAAACGAACAAAATTTTCTCATGATAATCGTCGTTACTTTATTCAAATTTCGATGCTTCATTTTAATATGCAAGAGATGTAGTCGTTTAATTATCATTATATATATATATATATATATATATATAACAGCTGTATTATACGATTAAAAGTAACCATGATATTTATTAGAAGATTTATCGAGAGAATTATTATGTTACGTGACTCGAATTTATTTAAATATTCAGTCGCTATATATAGTATTATTCGTGTACTATTTTACAGTAAAGTTTTGAGCAAGTAAATTTTTAAATATGCGTAATTGCTTGCAAAAATTTATTTTAAAAAATTTATTTTATTATTTGTTTCAATTTTCAGATTTAAGACACAATTTTCTAGTTGTTAATTAATAAACACTTTTTAAAAATTTATTAAAAGTATAAATCAATTCATTATTTTCTTACCGTAAATTGATACGGTTATAATTAAATTTATATTGTTTATTTTTACCTGTTACAAGGTACAACATGAAAGTATATTCTCTAATAAGGTAAAAAGTACTGACGAACTTTAAAAAATTCATAATAAATGACCTTAGAAAAAAATTTTCAGGTTCATGATATATGTCTTTTGAATTCGCGTTAAGTGTGTCTTCAACATTTTTCATATCATTAAAAATGAATCAAATATTTAGGTGGGACATACCTTTAGCTGAGACCCTCTGTATATGTTATAACGAGTTATCTCTAATTGACTCTTTTTGTCATTGAAGGTACAATAGATAGTAGTCCGAATTGGACCATGCCAAGATTGGAATCTCTTTGAGATGAATGCCGGCTCTTGGTTGGAATCATTATAATCTCGAATAATAGGGATGAAGTATAAGAGGGGAAGGGAGGGGGGTAGAGTACATAAGTTCAAATCAAATGAAAAAGGATGGAAGAAAAGAGAAAAGGGGTTAACGCTAATATTGCATTCATTGCATGCTTACCCTTAACCTTAACCTATTCATATTTATTTCAATTCTATTTTATTTGTGATTGATCAATTTTGATATTTTAAATATAAACAATGCATTTCTAATATTAATATCAACTCATTTTATATATAAAAAAAAATATATTTAACAGATAGATTGTATCAATAATTTAGATCAACGAATTGAAATATTAATACACAAATCCTCTCATCTATTTCAAATAATTTATTAATCAAATTATTAGACGTATTAGATAGATATTGAATTTGTAATAAATAATACAAATTCATGAAATATTTCTAATTTGACCTAATTTGTAATAATTTCTCGAATTTGTATTGCAAAATTGATAAAATGACTAGTATAAAAAATTCGGATTATCGGATGAGAAATAAATGGAATCTCGAATGATTCTTAAAAAGAAATTTATTCGTACGATTGAAACTATAACTATGTGGATGGCGCCYGTTTATCGACTATTCGAGGAAGAAGAAGAAGTAAAAAGAGAGAGAGAGAAGGAACGAGTCTCGCATGTGTACGAAAATAGACGATGAGGTTTAGGTCTTGTTCGAGGTAAACGACCGATTGTTCTGCCAGGTTGCTATAGTCGAACCTACACTTCCGGAAATCTTGGCAACGTGTAAATATTGCCAACTTGGCGATTATTCAGTTAGTCGAGTAGACCCGCCAAAAACAATTTCATTTGATATTTAAAAGTATCATAAATTTACGTTTACTTCAATGGGACATTTTTGGTGTCATCTTTCGACGGATGTTTAAATAAAAGGGAGTAAAAAATTCAGTCAGTTTAGTTGAGTGTTTGACTGATTTTCGGAGGTTCGGGGGTGGTAGAAAGTGGGATAAAGAGGGTAAGAGGAAGAACACGAAAGGTGTTTGCCAAAGTACAAGCAATTAGTCGGTGAATGGCGGACCAACCACTTGATGAAGAAGATACTTGTTGCCACGTATCAATTTCAAAGCCATCGTGTTTTACTTGATGTCAGATATTAATTTCTTTTTTTATATTATTACTTTTTAATTGTTTTCTTAATTAGTTGATTGTAATCATATTCAATCAAATTTTTATTAGTATTTGAATAAGAATCGTAATTTCGTATCTTTGAAATCAACAATATTTTGATAACGTTTACGGTATAGAATTGGTACAAAGTATCCTGATTAATTTTTAGGATAACTTTTTTTATATTATGAAACTATAGTTTAGAAATAACCTAAATATTATAAATTTTGTATTAAGTTATGATCAAATCTGTGTTGTATTTAATTGATATTATATTTTAAGATTTTAAAATGAATTTGAAAGGATGAGTTATTAGAGAAAAATGGAAGTAGTTTTTAAAGGAGAGAATAGAATAAAAAAAAAATTACATTCATAATAACTCTCGAAAGAAGAGAAAAAACAAAAACAAAAAAAAAAAGAAAGAACTCGAGTTGAACAATGTCGTACAATTATGGCCAACTTGTAAATAAAGAATGCACCTGACTGCTTCTACTTACCACGGAGTCGATTCCACGCGGCTTGACTTCGTAACAAGCATTATTGAGACTTATCGATCGATCAAACTGTGAATGTATTCGAAATGTATTCGATGTTATGAAGTAAACGCTCCAAAAGAGTCTGTGAAAACTAAACGATTTTATTAGTCGATGTGAAACACAATTGATGGCCACTCTCTCATTTCCTTTTAATTTGCTTTCTTCTATTTAAATAAGAAAAAAATACTACTATCTATTTGGACCAATATTTTTCTAGATATTAATTAGACAATATTTATTTAAAAAAAAAAAAAATACGAGTAATCAATATTACTTTATATAATTAATACAAAAAAATTATTGCTACTTTAATTAGAATATTTTCAAATATGATAAATTAAAAGTATTTTCTGAAAATATATGGTTAGTATTTTTATTCAAATATTACATTACTTAATTAATATAGTAATATAAAAATAAAGTAAAATAAAAATAGTTGATAGTTTAATTAAAATATTTGTTCAATATTGCATAATAACTTGTCGGTATTTTAAATAAAATATCAGAAAAAAATGGTCGATATTAAATTAATTAATAAATGCAGAAACTATTGGTACTTTAATCACAATATTTTTAAATATAAAATATAAATTTATCAACGTTACTAAAATAAATAAAAAATAATAAGATGTATTTCACATAAATATGCAACCCTAATGTAATTCTAATGCAACCCTGTTCCTTATCTACTCTAATCTTACTGTTACCCTACTTCTATCAAGAATACTAACAAGTAATTAATATTTTACAAAATATTAATCAAAAAAATGCTGTGAACTGATTATAAAAAAGAAATTATTTCTGAGATCGTCTACAATAGATTATAATAGAATGAAACATTAAATGAAAGTTAGAAGTTTCGTTAAAATAGTTGAATCAAAGTTTTCATGATAGACATATAGATATACATACTTAAGAAGTAATTCATCGTTAGTTCGATACAATTCGAAACATTTGTTCGGATGAATTAACTTAGACTTCATCCAGGAAACCGTTGCAGACAGGTCAAACATACAATACTATGGAAAGCAAGCAACTGGTCGCCTTTGGCCATTCGCCAGTTTATGCAGTTGCTTTCTCATTGCTTTCTCATTATTTTCTCACCTCACTGGGTTCCATTTCTTTTATTTCATTATAAAATCCAACGATTGTTGGCTTGCGGTCCATCTACCATTCGCATTGTCGCTATTTTACAAATTCTATTTATTTGTCTTTAATTTAAAAAGAATGAAAATGTTCATTTAAAGCATCAATTCCAATACAATTTTTAATTTGATCTGCAAAAATATATATATATTTTTTTTTTTAACGTACTCGTCAATATCTTGAATCATTATTATTATATATTAGTTAATAATAAATATTATAAATATAGTAAAACATGTACTTGAAATTCGATTAATTGCATGGATGATTAGAACAATGTTCTATGTTTCATATTGCAATCTTATAACATAGTTAACGATAAAATTTAACATAGATCGCTTTTTTCTATACAATAATTACAAAATTCAATATTAAATATAAAAAATTAAGTTCTCAAATGCTTAACAAAAATACCAAAAATCTATCATTTAAAAATTCAATCAATTATTCCAAATATTTCAATGCACGTTGAATAAATTGAAAAAAAAGGAAAAGGGATAAGGGGAGCCCTGAATATTTTGAATGCAAAAAGTAAATGCGATTGATTGAAAGATGAGAAGAGGAGAAATAGAAGAGGAAAAAAGAAAAGAAGGTGAATGAAATGATTGGGGTGTCGACGAAGAGAAAAGGTTAACGCTGGAACACTTTCATGCACCGCCAGAGGGGAATGGGTAATGGTAAGACCAGCGGGTGTTTAATTCGAAACTAATTACGTTGCCGTCGTCAAAGAGGTCTTTTAAATTCGTTATATAGGAGGCGTCAAGCAGCGATGCTATCTAACAGCGATGCAATACAAATCGACCATTTCCCAGCCATGAAAAGAAAGAACCCCCCATGTACTTTGCTTTTCTCTTTGTTTTGATTCTTTCACCCTTCTTTACTACTATGAACTATGATGAAAGATTAAAAAAAAAAAAAGAAAATAAGAACGGGATCGTTCGTGTGGTTAAAAAACACAACTCTACAAAAAACAAAAAATACAGATTTCTTTTTACGACACATATTTAAATATTATTCTATTTAATTTTTAATTTGTCATATTATTTTTTGGTAGAAAATTATTACATGCAATGTTATTAATAAGATTGTTATTTGTAAAAATATTTGTTATTTTTATTATTCTTGCAACTATTACCAGAGACAACTATCAATTTAGAATTAATTTAGACATTTAAACTATATAAACAAAAATTGTATAATAATGAATTTTATTAAGAATTTTCTGATACAATATTCATATATATTTACTACTACTATTTTATATTTTATATTAATGTTTAGTAAAAATTAATAGAAAAAAAAAACATAAGAATTAATTTTGATTGTTCATTTCTGATTACAGGAATTGGAATTGAGAATAGAAACGCAGAAGCAGACATTGCAAGCTCGCGATGAAAGTATCAAGAAGCTTCTCGAGATGCTCCAAAACAAAGGGATGGGTGAGGCTGAATTTTGAATATTTAATTTGTTATTTCATTATTCCTTCCTGTTGTCGTTGTTGTTGCTCCTGTAGTGTTGTGTGAATCAATGATTCGCGTATTCATTTAGAAGCTCATTAGAAGCTCGTATAATATATAAAAAAGAAATATATATATACATATATATTTGAAGAATATAATATTTTATTCATCTCGTTTCTCACACGTAACAAAACTTTTTTAACGAGATTATTAAAGAAAAAAAATAGCTACAACCGTTCATCGTCAAAGAAAAAAATATCATCATCGCGTGCTATCTCCTTCTTCATCATCTCGCGCATCCACGTACAAGGCCGACTGTGTAATCTATTTTAATTAAATACATTAAACGCTACGCTCTAATGTAAAGAGACAAAAAAAAATATAAGCGATATACTGGCAGAGAGAAAAAAAAATACTCGCGAACGAGATTCGAAACGTAACTCGCGCGTGTTCTTTGATGACTCTTGTTGATTAACAAAAAAAGAAAAAAAAAAGAAAACAAGAATAAAAATAATATAACAAATAATTCGTCGACTACTGTGCTTCATAAGAGAACAACACTTTGTATCACAACGTGTATGCGTACATTAAAACAAATTGTTTGTTTGTACGTTCGTTTAAATAAATAATGAACCTATGATAAAAAGCTTTTGAATGGACATGTCAATCGAAACGTGAAATAAAATATCTTTTACGATAAAATTAAAAAAAAAAAAAAAAGAAATAATCAAATTCAATTCACACGTGGAAACTGGACCAACAAAATTCTTTTTCCTTTTCGAACATTTTAGTTCTTTTTTGTCTGACGTATGCAATCTTATGAAAAATAAATAAATCAAATATTGTAGGGAATGTCTTTAAAAAAAAAAAAAAAACATAAGTTCTAGGATAGAGGGGGAAGTTCGTATGTAGGGCAATAGCGAAACCGCCAGGAAGTAACGCGTGCGCCGAATCTGGGACGTGGATTTAGACGTTGGAGATGTGCTCCGGGATACGGGTGCTGCGCTAACGTCCTGGATTTTTCCCCTACTGGCCCAGATTACGAGTATCTTCCATTATGTCGAACTTTTACAACCACGGAAATGCATTTGAAAGTCGTTTTTTCAAGTCACCGTCATTTTTTTTCTTTTAAATCACCTTTTTATATCCCTCAAAACAAAATATTCTGCACAAAGCTTATGCGTTTTTATCAGTATTTTTATTTATTTATTATTATTTTTTTTTTTTAAGTAAATTTAAAAACAACTCCAACGTCGTATCGTCCAACCAAATTCAAAATGTTAAATAAAAAAATAATGAACGTAATGTAATAATGCGTTAGGTCGTTAGTAGGGAAAAAGTAAAATAATTTTTTAGATCAGAGGATCAAAGGAGTATAAAATTTGAAAAAAAAAAATTAATAAATAACATTATAAAGATTTCGCAGTAAATAGTTGTATCCGCCAAGAGCTTTTTCTCGATTTCTACTGTTCCAGGAAAAGAGGAGGAAAGGATCATGTTCCAGCAGATGCAGTCATTGGCCCAGAAGCAGGTCCTTAAACTATTTCTAAACATGTCGGGATAATATCATATACATATATCTATATAAATATTATATATGTATATATATAAATACATATACATATACATATATATATTCATATATTTATATAAATATTATATTATATATACATATCACACTTTCTCACTTGATCGAACGATCGTGTCTCGCTCGTAACGCGTGTCTGAATACGTACTGTGTATTCGTGTATATGTAAACATAAAAAAGAAGAAGAAAATGGAAAAGTGAGAAGAGAGAGAGAGAGAGAGAGAGAGAGAAAAGAGAGTAAGATAAAAAGACATATACACGTATATACTATTATATTTACAAAAAAAAAGAAAAAATTATCCATATTAAGAGTATCGAAACACGCGTTTGCGCGATATCACATCTTCGCTATGTTGTAATACGTAGTAGTTGCTTGCACGTAGAAAAAGTTCAATTGCGCTGCCAGTGGCTTCAATTCTGTCCCGTGTTATATCACACGCTTGAGACTCGTAACAACCCAACAACCATCGTAATACTATTTGAATATTACTAATACCGCGAGTTTACGGGAGGAATATCGAAAAAAAGAAAATATATATATATAAAATATAACAAATCAAACAAAATATTTTATATAWTAAAAAAAAAAAAGAAACAGAAAGAACATAACATACGAAACAAACAAATACATAATAATAATACTAAATACTATGCGGATCGATTCCTGATTCGAATTCTCAAAAAAGAGAAAAATGAAGACGATACTTAATATTGAAAAAAAAAAAAATAAGACACTAAAAAATGAGTAACAAATAATATTAAATGATTATTTTATTTATATTGATAAATCCTTTTCGAATCTTCGCTCCGGATATACGCGTTTTCCCTTGATGTATTTTTTTTTTTTTTTTTTTATTAAACTCGTATTTTTCGATCAATTCGATACTCTGATTTATGTGTAATATATTATATACTACTATCTTCTTTTTCGTGAGATTCGTAATACACGTTTGAGGTTACAGGTCATATATATAGTATATTACTATATATATATACGGGCACGTATACGTACACATACTTTGTCACACGATATCTCTTTCACAAGCATATATATATATATACTCTTATATTCTTTTCACGCGGTCGTATTTTCACGACTGTCAAAACACCTCGTTGCCATATGTGTTCGAGAATTCGTGGTATCATTTTTTTTTTTTTCATTTATCCATTTAATCAATTATTTATTTTCGATTGTAATCCTTATCACTTCAGATAATAGTTCACAAGCCAATTTCAAAATAGTATTATAAAAAAAGATACGACAAAATTATTTATTAATAAAAATAATTAATATTAATTTTAAACAAAAGTACAAAGAAATTTGATGATCGTTGAAATGATCGTTAAAAACAAAATTAAATATATTTAATCTCTAACAATAAAAATATAATTGGAAATTTTCTAAAATAATAAGCTTGTGTCAGACTAATTAATTTATTAATTTATCTCTTAAAGACTGTATAAAAAATTATGGGTCATATAATTACTGCCAAAATATAATGAACTGATAAAAATAAATGTCTCCTTGATCCTGTCCTACCTCTTCCCATCCCCTTCCCAAAGAAAAAAGCATAAAATTGAATAAAATAAAATAAAACAATATTAAAAATCTCTTATTTAAACTTAAAGTTAGATTTAATTTAAAACTAAATTGACGGATTCTCGATCGCACGGTAACGTGCATACAATTGCTTCCTCTCTTTAGAAATTTCCACCGCCGTTGTTCTGCTATCATTAAATCACAATTAGCGATAACGTTATATTATACGACATATATGTACATCTCTATTATATGTTAAACGTCATCATTAGTTAATCGTTTGAGCATCGTCACAAACCTTAACCCCCTCTCTCGCCCCTTACCCCCTTCTTTTTAAATGCCTCTTACATTGATATATATACATATATACATACATATATATATATATATATATATATATATATATATATATATATATATGTATATGTATATATATATAATACCCCCTGCAATTTCGTGTAATTCGTCTTGTCTTTATACTAGAAGAGATCATAGCTGTGTTACTCCGGCACCATTCACGTCTCTTATAGTGTCTGGCCTCGTTTCACGTTTTTTTCTAGACAACCCCATTTTTTACCGCACACTGATATGCGAAGTCGCTCCTTCCCCTCATTTACGAGTACTCGCAAGATGGGACAATATTTTTTTTTCTTCGTTTTTTATCTTCTTCTCATTTTTTCTTTTCTTTTTGTTACGACAGGTAATTTTTTGTCTTTTTTTTTCAAATTTTCTTTCATTCCCTAATTACAATCCCGTAAATAAATATTTTCTAGAATTAGTCGCGAATTTTAACGCGAGTGTGCATGTACGAACGATCATTACTGACACATTCGTACAGCCAATTTTGATTATTTTGATGGTAGAAAAAATTGGCAATGAGTGTGTCTCGAATGATCGTCGGATTAGATCAAGAATCATCGTAATTTAGGATGTATATATTATGATAATAATAGTTTGATAAATGGATAATTATATCAGTAGTGCCAAATTAAATAGTACAGTAGTATTGTATCAGCTTGTGTCTCACTAGTTTTATAGAAATATTGAAGTAATTTAACGTGTCGTTAGATATTTGATATACTAAATATTGAAAAATACAAAAATATCTACATCTTGATTCATCCCTTTGCACTGTATCAAAAAAAATAAGAAAAGAATGTTACAAAATGAAACAAATTACAGGACAATTGCGGCGAATGATGATGATGATGATGATGATGATGATGATGATGATGATGATGATGATGATGATGATAATGATGACGATAATGATGACGATAATGATGACGATAATGATGATGATGATGATGATGATGATGATGATGATGATGATGATGATGATGATGATGATTTTATTATATTGTTAATTATTAATATTATTATTATTATTATTATTACTATTATTATTATTATTATTATTATTATTATTATTATTATTACTATTATATGTTGTTCATTATTATTTATATTAATATTATTATTATTTTTTTTTTTTTAATTATTATTACCAAATGTTTTTTATTAACAAGCCGAATCGTAGAGGCCTGTTGAAAAGAAACTTCGTAACTAACATCAACGAAGATGGAGCGACATCGCATCCACCATTTTCTATTTGATCCTTATCGCATATTATATTTTATATATGTGTGTTTGTGTATTGCCTATTAGTTTTAGGATTTAGATGAGAACGCGTCTGTCTACGTTGCTTGCGTGGCATCTATGATCACCTTTACGAAAGAAAGTAATCATATTGATATAAAATGACAGAAAAAGAAAATAAAAAGAAAAGAAAAATGCTTAAACTACTCGAAGAAACCTACGGATAAAACTTCGAGCATGAGCCTGACAATAGCACCGTGTTCTTCAACGATTCGTGTAATTATTTATTTATTTATTATTAATGCTGTGTTTTTAACACGGTATTGATTTGTTTAATTTGGAATTTTTAGGTTGATAAATTTTTATTTCAAATTAATTTTATTTAAAATATTGTATTCCTTTTATCTCTGTCTCTCTCGTTTCTGTCATCCAATTAAATGTATTTATGTTTCTATCACTATCTCTGTCACTATTTCTATCTCTTTCCACTTTTCTTATCACATATATATATATATATATGTATACATATATGTATATATATTTTTTATTATTTTTTCTTTTTGTGTTATTTTTTTAAATTTGTCTGCACCGTAAACAACGTCAATGTCTCAACGGGGTGTACGCTTCCTCTTTCTCGTGTCTCTTTTTAAACGTTTGTTAAGGTATATTATTATATAACATAGCCGTGACGAGTGTGTGTGTTATTTAACGAACGCGCCAATTATCAAACAATTATCACTTGAATTTTGTAATTTAAAATTACGTTCAAACTTTGCACCGAAGCACCAGGCCTGTCTCTTCATTATTGTTCACTTCATTGCGCTAAAATCGTAGTAGCACGAGCATTGTGTCACGTTATCCTATAATCCTCCTTCTCTTCTTATACTTTTATCATCTTCTTACTTATATATTCTAATTCTTCTTCTTCTTCTTCTTCTTCTTCTTCTTCTTCTTCTTCTTCTTCTTCTATTTTTCCTCTTTCATATTTTTCCTACTTGATGATCCTTTTTTCAAATCCACAAGGAATCTTTTCTTCAAATTTCAAATTGACGTACTTCAATGAACTCGAAAAAGATATTATATTAAATATATAGATATTATATTATAATTAAAAAGATTCTTTATAAATAATTCAACAAAAATGATGCAAATCAATTACCTATCATTTTACTTTTAATTATTTTCCTTTTATAATTGTGTTTTTGTACAAAATTTGAATTTACTAACTGATTTTGTCAATGTACTTTTGTTGAAGTAATTCGAACGAATCGTACTTATTGAAATAGTTTTTTCTTTTTAATAATAATAATAATAATAATAATAATAATAATAATAATAATAATAATAATAATAATAATAATAATGATACGTTGATTGTAAAGAAAATAGTAACGTATGAAAAAAAATTTCCAAAACTATATTCGTCAATTTGATAAAAATATGGAAGTATGTCAAAAACGATGTTCTGTCAAATTCCACATTTTAAAAAGCATGTACCGAGATCCTAAAAAGAAACAAAAAATCGACGAAAATCACCAATTATCTAATTTCCTGATCCAAACCCAGGCCCTTCTTTTATCTCCTAAAAACTCATGAGTCCAGTGCGCAAAACCCACAGGATTTTTCTCTTTGTCTATCTCTCTTTTTGCATCTTGCGTATGATCTAAATATATACATATATATTTAAAAAAAAATACAGATATTAGAAAAAAATAGTTAACCAAAATGAGGATAAAAAGAAAAATAATGTAAAAAAAAAAAGAGAATAAATTACGACGGGACGAGACGACGACGAGGACGCGAAAAGGGGGACGATTTGATCATAGAGAAAAGCAAAACTTATGTTTGAACTCTAAAAAAAAATATTAATAATTACAAAGTATATAAATCTAAAAGTACTATCGTTTATTATAATAACAGCAGATTGATTTAACGAACGATAAGACATGCGCTGTGATTGGAATGCGTGGAATGAGCTGCTTTGGATGTGTAGGTGGTAAAAAGACGTTAGCAACCCTCACTGGGGAATATTTCGCCCGCATCCGCCCCTTCGTCACTCACCTTGTTTAACAAAAACAACTACTATTACTATTTATTACTACTACTACTACTATTACTATTACTATTACTATTACTATTACTATTACTACTACTACTACTACTACTACTACTACTACTACTACTACTACAGTAACCACCACCACGATCACAACTATCACCATCACAACCACCATCACCAACCAATCATCACCAGTTACCATCAACATCTCGACACCCCATCGATCGCAATCACCACCATCGTCATTTTCGTTTTATTCCATCAGGATTTATACAGGAGAGAATAAAGAATAGAGGAACACCCCCTACGACACCGTGATTTTAACAGGTACACTAAAAGACACACGTCGAACATTTTTATTTATTTATTTTTCCTATGCAAAGCAATAATAAAAAATTGAATGTAGCGCGTGTTACGACGGTTTTTATGAATTAAGTAAACGCGAGAATATTTTTTCTTTTTTATATTCTTCTATTCGAATTTTTTGTTTCCCTAACAGTTCGTTCTAATTCAATTTCATAAAAATTTCGATTGGCTAAATTGTGGAATACTTTTTTTTCGTAAAATTTCTTTTTTAACACGAAAACAAAACATCACAAGCACTATTTTACAAAAGACACAATAAAACGTAGAAATAACATATTTGACATATATTTATACGATCATATATCCTATTTAGTTTAATACATACTATAAACGCTTTGGAAACATATTAAGCAATTTACACACCTGCCAGAGATCTTACCTTTGGGAAAGTCACGGTATGTATATCATGTTTTCGCGAAAACTCGAGCCAAAAGTCACGCGACTTGTGTGACATTGAAATTATCCTAATTAAAACGACAATTATTATAGCAAATCGTAAAGAAAATTTATTCGAACAGGATTCTTTAATATAAAATTCCATTTATATTTAAAATTTCTGCAACCCCATACGAGGTCATAACCCATATTTTGAGTAAAAGTACCTCACGTAAAAAAATATAATTAAAATAAAAATCCAAAATCCTTTTAAATATTAAAACGCAAAATTCATGTCACTGTTTCGCGATATTTTCGGCTCGTTAAAAAAAAAAAAAAATAAGAGAAAAATCTTTGCGATGTGTCCCTTTTTATTATAATTCACAAAACATATATATGTATGTATAAAAATTATCAAATTAATTTCGCGTAACAAGTGAATATGTACAGCCTCTGTTAATTATATTTATTTTATTTTTATGTATTTTACATATGCACAAATAAATATACATATCATATATTTGTATAATAACTTTACATGTACATATTATGTTTTACATAAAATGCATACAAAATAATATGCATACACGCATATATATATATGAAACATATGATGCACCAAGCTTGAACATTTTTCTCTTAAAAATCATTCTAATAAACTCCACTGTGAATCAATCTCACTGAATGTAACATATCCAATTATTGTATACTATCTTCTCGTTCTTGTACGCCTCAGACACGTTCTTGCCCATCACGACTTACCACTATCATCGCCGATCGTCGTTATCGATGCGCGAGCAACGGGACGGTCCGAAAGTCGTCAAGTCGAGTCAAGGGAAGCCGATTCCAGGCCCAAGGGAGGACTTTGCGACTGTTTGGATCCGACCTGATGCGTCATGCGATTTTACGACGTCGTTCTCCTCGCGTAATCTACTGTCTTATCCTCTACCATTTACTTACACTTCTAATCATCTCATCTGACATCATTTCTCATTCTCGTGTATGCTCCTACGATGATTTTCAAACATTTTTGTTTTGATTATATTAATCATTTATTTATATTATTAAAATTAGAAGTTATTTGTTAGCCCCCTATTATTCAATTTTGGGAAGTTTATTAGTAGGGAAATTATATAATTTTTAATCATAAATATATGAGAAATTTATAGAGGGGAAAGGTTTTAATATATTATTTTTAATTATAATATTGGAATAAACATATAATAAATAATATTATATTTTAAATGTACGAAATAACGTAAGATTTGTAGAGGGTTAATAGTAATTAAAAATCAAGCAACTTATAGACCATAAATATAATGTTTTACCATGTTTTAATTAAAAGATTTATCGTCTTAGGAGCACGCGAACGAATCAGAACACGTAAACTCAAGCAGATGCGTATTCTCGACGTATGACCTAAATCTCAATAATATATTTCCAATTAATATCAATCAATGGCAATCATTTAACACTGTTGTCACAAATAACTCGCGAATGCGTATCTTCTTACACGTAACATTACAGTCGACGGAAAATCTTGTCCATGTGAAATGTGAGCGCGTTTCGAGTTAGCGAAGAAAAAGGAAAAATTCAATCCGAATTTTCCCGATGATTAAAGTTTAAATAATATGATAAGAGTTTAGGGGGAAAAGAAAAAAAAACAAACAAAATTCAATTAGACATTAAACAGTGCTAATGTGTTTTTCACATATGTTAATAAGACCCAATAATAAGAAATACACAACGATGATTAGAAAGTATTTTCATATAAGAGAAAACAAGATAGGCAAAAAATAAATTTATTATAAAGATAGATAAGATTGATCTCTATCTATATATCCTTTAACATGTGTTTATTGATAAATAAATTACAAATTAAAAATACATAAATCATCGAAACGCTGCGAGCAAAAATGGATGGACAAAAAATGATGTCGGCCGTACGTCGCGGTGGGCGAAAGAACTGCGGCGGCGCCCGGCGTCCGGCGTCGAGGAAGAGGATCCGCGTTAATTTAACAATAATTCAATCGTCAGCCAGCATAAAAGTAAAGAAACAAAGAAAGAAAGAGAAAGAGGGATAGAATGGACAAAATGGGAGAGAAAGAGTGGAAGAAAAAATAAACTTTTCAAAGAACATAATAATTGATTATAATCGCGATGATCTTTGTGTATGTGCGTGGAGATATATTTTATTAATAAATAAATAAATATTTCAATAACCTATATATATATATATATATAATATATATAAAATATATAACATATATATAATATATTATATATATATATATATACTTTAAATGTGAATCTACAGATTTTTTTCAAGAATAAAAACAACGTTAAAATGCTTGAAGAATAGAGGAATTAAAGAAAGAAAGAGACGAATTAAAATTGACTGAGAAAGAAAAAGAAGGAGGGAAGAAGAAAACAATGAGAAAAATATATGAAAAAATAACGGAGAGAAAGAGAAAGGAATAGAATCAAAAATTTATTAACATTGATATTAGAAATGTGATATTAGAAAAGATATTGAAAATGTGAAAAGAATGATTGGAAGCTCGGCGAAACGTCGCTTTTCTTTCGTCAACCGGGACGCTATACCGGTGCAACGTTCGCTTCTGTTCGAGGTTGTCCGAAAAGTGCTAATTGAAATATCATACATAAATGGTCGAACGATGATCAGACCTTGTCAATGATACGGATATTTATTACAGAGAACAGGAAAAGGGACGAGACAAGACGATCGGACAGCCTCGTTTCCTTAGCGGTGGAGCACCTAGCTAACGCGAATCAACAAATCTATCATCTCATCTAAACAAAAATATATACATGTATATATATATGTATATATATGGTTGTCTCATTCTCTGGTTTTTTTTTTTAACACCTGGGGACATGACTCGTCATATTATTCTATCATTTTCNTGTATATTTATATATATGGATATATATGGATATATGTATATCCATATATATATATACATATAGAATATAATATACAAGTATATACTCGACACCGGAGCGAATAAATGAATCGGATACCGACAAGTATAATTATACAACAACAAAATACTGCACAAACAGACAGATAAAAGTAAAATAATAGATAGATAGAAAAAAAGAGAGTTAGAGTTAAGACTAAAAAAAAAAGTAAAAATATGAAAGAGCGCAGGCGCCGTACGAGGAGGAGTTGCAAAAGTAAAAGTAAAAGTAATAATAAAAAAAAATAGAAAACAAATCTTTTTAAATAAAATAATTAAAAAAAAAAAATTTAAAAGCGTGGCTCAGCTAGGTCGACGAGGAGTGTAATCGTGCCCTTCTGTTTCATTGCCTCTGTTGTAAAGGAGCTAAAAGAGACGAACGAGACGCTGAAAGGGCTACAAACGAGGTTGGAATTGGCGTACGCGTCGACAGCGTCGTCTGGTGCACCGGTCGCCGGTGGAGGAGCACTAGGAGGGCTAGGTAGCGTATCTTGCGGGGGTACGGGAATCAGCGGTACTGTCTTAGGAGGTAGCGTGGCGGTTCCAGGCGGCGTGCCCGGTAGCACTACCCTGACGGCCATCATGGAGACGAAAGATGCTCGGATACAAACTTTGGAGAAGGAGATAGCACTTTTGGAAGCGGAATTATTGCGTATCAAGGAATGCGGTGGTAGATTAAGGGAGCAGTTGTTGAAAGCAACCGCTGTCCCTAGTGGCAGTGGTAGCATGCAACAGCTTCAACAACAATTTCAGCAGCAGCAACAACAACAGCAGCAACAGCAGCAGCAAATGCAGCAACATCAATTAGGTTTATCAAACGTCACAAGTGGCGTTAGTGGTATGGAGCAACAAGCTCGACAGGGATTGGTGACTCCCTTGGGTGGTTCGCAACAGTCCGGCACGTTGGCTTTGGCCAGGGGACCGTCCGTGATGACCTCCCTGGTACCGTACGGTCACTCGTCGTCCACGGCACTAACCACTCCGTTGCTTGCCGGTTCGACAGGTGGAACCTTGAGCGGGAGCAGCGGGGTCGGCGTCCTTGGGGGCGGTTCCTCGTGCCTGGCCGGTATCTCGTCGGGCGCCACCACTGGCGTGGTCAATCCCTATACCGATCGTTACTCCGATCATCACCTTCATCCCCATCAACTTCACCATCATCAACATCACCATCATCATCATCTCCATCAGCAGCAACAACAGCAGCAGCAGCAGCAACAACAACATCAGCAGCATCTATTGCAGCAACAACAGCAACATCAGATCCAGCAGCACTTAAGGCAAATAGAGCCAGCGGCCGCTGGTGCCTTGGCGCTACATGCCCACACCTTCAACAAACACGACCTGAACTTCAAACGGCAAGTAAGTTTCTTCATCAACAACGTGCGCATCGAAAAGAACGACGCCGTCTAGGGAGGTGGGAGGTGTGGCCGCGCGGAATTGGGACGACACCTTTCAAATTACCTTTGAACCTTGGCTCTACCACACGGCTCTAACATAACACCGTATCTTCGTTTATCTTCGACGTCCGCTGAGTGTGTTCTCTCTCACGCGCTTCCGCTCGCTCCCCCTGAAACCCCCTCTTCTCTTCGGCTTTTCGAATATCTACGGAGGAGCATGATGATGATGATGATGTTGATGATGATGATGATGATGATGATGACGACTGAGTAGCATCTGGAGCATGATCTAGAAAATTAACATTTTCAAATATATATATATATATATATATATACATAAATATTATATATATATATATATATTATAAACGTGCCTGCTCGTCTCTCGTTTCATCGGATTCAAGAAGAAATAAGAGACGAAGTGAAATTGGGTATTTAAGATAAAGAATGAAAGAAAGAAAACAAAAAAAGAGATAATATACGTTAAAATAAATATTTTTCTCCCTCAAAAAAAAAAAAGAATGAAGAGTGCCTGGAAAAATTAAGTCAATCGAGCCTATCTGATGATATAGTTTCTATTATACACACATAGAATATACATGATAAAAATGAATGAAATATAAGAGAGAAAGGACGGTAACTGAAGGAAGAGAGAGAGAGAGAGAGAAAGATAGAAAAAATGAAAAAGAAATAAAGAAAGAAATAAAAAGAGAGAGAGAGAGAGTATCGCCGAGAAGCTGCATGACGTCGTCGTTGTCGTCGTCGTCGTCGTCGCTTTCACAGATATCGAAGCATCTCGTGGGTCTTCGCCATAAAAACTCCAGATCCTTCTAATCTTATCTTCCAATTCCTTCCATCATTAGACCACCCCTTAACTCTCCACCCACATAGCCTTTATAGCCTTTGAATAACCCCCGGACAAAAAAGTCGCCCTGTGTCGTTACGAATCGACGAGATGAACAAAAATGGCGGATTTTTCGACGAGTAGAGATTATTTCTCTAATGTGCATACATAAATATACATATATTATATACATATATATGTATATATATATATATTATTTACGAATGACACATCACAAAATGCAATATGGAATTGAACAAATCTTTAAAATCTCCGTTTTTTAAACTACAAAAGTATTAGCTCCTCGAAAGAGTACAAAGTATGTATATGTATGGATATATACTATATACATATATGTATATACATTGAGTCTTATGAATATTCGTATCCTCATTGGTCAATTTAAAATATTCAATAGTTTCTTGTAAAACAATATTTCCTTATTCTTATACACAGAAACATATTTTAAGATTATTCTAATTTTAAATTGATATCAATTTTATTGCAAAAAAGCATTTTATTATAAGAGAAGTAAAATTGTGTATAATTGATAAATAAATTGGTGTCACACAAAATATGCCTAATCGTTATAAGATGCAAAGGAGAATCAACTAATAAGTATTATTTACAAAAACAATTATTGTATCTTACGTAGTTACTAATATTCTTGTGAGATCAATTTTTTATCATTTATGTAAAATTATATTTCATTAACAATAAATTGTTATTTCTTCAATCAAATTGATATCCATTTTGACAATTGAATAACAAACATGTTTCCATGTGAATAAGAATATTGAAGCTTTTTGCATTATAAGTGGAAAATCAATTATTTTAAATGTATAGTGAAAAGTAATACGAATATTCCTGTGACTTGTTGTATATTAAACGTGTATCGAAAGTTAGAAAGAGGAAGAAAGAGGAAGACGTATTTCTTGACCTCGGGGATAGATAAAAAAAGAAGAAATGAAGACCGTCATTTATTTTTGTGACGATCCTTGAACTTTTAAACTAGGACCTTTAGAAATTATCGTCAGAATACGCCTAAATATATACTTTGACATCTCGTCGATTCATATCGATCAATACGCACGATCTAGAAAAACATAGTAAGTGCGTTAGATATGTTGTGTGTATAGTACAATGAAAAAAAAAAAATGGATGACGCCTAGCGTAATCCAATTTGACTTTTACTTTTTAAATCACCGAAAGATTTTCCCCCAATCGAGAGAAAGAAAGAAAGAAAGAAAAAAAAAGAAGAACAAAAAATATATAAAAGCCAATCTTTTTAATCTCTGATCATCGGCGATATTTAAAAATGGCGGGAATTTAAATTACCAGAGTAATTATATTTTTTGAGACGATTCTTTTTTAAAATGTTAGTAGAATTATGAATCGAGTATATAACGGAAATTCCCGATTAATACCCTTTATCCGGTTTCTATATATTCATAATTATTATTTAGATATATATATATATATATATACACATATATATGTGTACGTTTTTAGAAATTAACGCGCTAGACCGATCGAAGATTTATTCATATTTTAGCCTTTTGAGCATGTGTTCGCGATCATCGATCGGTTGTAAATTCTCATTAGTGTCATTCGGGTTTCAAATGTGGCACTACTACTCATTCCACACATTTTTTCAAGGAAAAAAGTTATATCATATATATACATATACATTTATCATATATCATATTTAAATGATATATGATATACAAGGTACATTAAAACAAATGGTGCAATCATTATGAATGATTCTATGTCAAAATAAGTCAAAACATCATATATTTTCGTTTGGGGAATCAAGAATATCCTTAATTTTTTCTTTTCTTTCACAACTATGATTATTATAAATATGATTGGTAATTAAAGATTTTTAACATATACTGACTTTGAATATACGATTTTTTTTTTTAAATGCTCCCTCAAACGAACAAATTATGTATATTATTTTATTTTTGACTTATTTTTACACGTGAAATCATTTTCCTCATTTGATTGTACTATTTTTTTTTATACATCCTATATGTATATATGTATATAAATTTAAAAGACGCGGAGAACGATATAAGCAAGATTCCGAAATGTCGAGCCGAGATGAATAAGAGGGAATTGAAAAAAAAAAAATAATAAAATAAAATAAGAATATAAAAAAAAAACAAACACAGAAAAAAAGGGGTTGAAAAGAATCACTTTGAGAGAAAGTCAATCAGAAAGTCATATTCGGTAGCTTCTACTGTTGTAGTTCGTAGAGAGCCCGAGAATAAACTATGCGTACCTAATCACTAGGCCTTAGAGAATGAACGAAAGGGGAAAAGAAAAAGAAAAAAAAACAGAAATAATAATAATAATAATAATAATAATAATAATAATAAAGAAAATAAAATTAAAAAATAATATATATATATAAAGCAAACGAAGATACGAGTAAAGATGAGAAAATTTTAAAAAGCGAAAAAGTAAAGAAAAAAATGAAAAAATATAATATAAAAGAAGATAATAAGAAAAAAGAAAATAAATTAAAATAAACAAAATGATAACGCACTGTTGAATATTCTAAGATGTCTATAAATGTTGATATTGCGATAAAGCAATTTAAAATGAAGAAAAGAGTATTACGTTCGTTAAATTATTATCACACAAACATACAAACAGTTACACACATGCACACACATATCTATATAATATATATACACATTTATTTATCTACATACGTATTTACATATTTACATATATATTATACACGTATATATAAAAATATATACACACACGCGCGCAAACATATTTACTAAAAAATAAAAAAATAAAAACATATACTAAAATATTACATATACATATACATAAACATATACACAGAAATAAAACGTAGGTAAGAAAAAAAAATAATAAAAATTAAAAAGCTTCCAGCTGTATATTTTCGTAGCTCAGAGCAATTTAATCGATCTTCCCTATTTTTGTCCATAATTTCCGATTGAAATTGAATCCCCAAATTAGTATCCCAGTCTTATAATCTTATCCATGACCCAAGCCAACCCTCTTCTTCCCCTTCCTATCCTAGAAGAACACATACCAGCTGTAACCAGCTGAAAATAAAAATCATACACACCAATTAAAAAATGTTTTTCGGTAAGTAATCCGATTAGATGTCATTGTTCGTAAGAAACATAATCGTGAGATGTTTGAACCCCGTTTTAAAGATTCCTCCTCGAACCCACTCGCCCCTCTCAAAAAACAAAAAAAAAGAACAAATTTTGCGTTCACGCGCACGTTATACCCACATATATACCTGTATACATGCATATGTCGCGTCGTTTCAAACGTTTCTTCTCTTAAGTGATATTACAAAAAAGAAAAAAAAGAAAAAAAAAGAAACTTCGCTTACATCCCTCTAAAATCCCCAACCCTTGTTATAAATGTTATTCCTGACCCTACGAACGATTTAATAAAAATATAGATGAAAGATATAAGTTTGAAAAGAGAAAGATAAATATATAGAAATAGAAAGTAAGGATAATAAAAATAAAATGACAAAGATAATGATAACAATAAAGAAAAGAAAATTAAAGAAAAGAAAAAAAAGGGAAATATGTCTCGAATAATTTCGACATCGTTAAGTTTTATATAATAAATAAATAAATAAATAAATAGATAGATAGATAGATAGATAGATAAATAGATAAATGAATATACATAAATACAATTATACATGCATACAAACAAACGTACATATACAAACAAATATCGTGTGATTCATAAATTTCGTAGAAAGTGATATATTGCGGTGATAAAAGAATACAAAAAAAAAAAAAATAACTAGAAGAAACGAATGAATAAAGATAAAGATTTCTACGATATAAGAAAATATGGTAAAAAAATGTTATCCTTTAATATAGATAAAAAAAAAAAAGGAAAATGATCCACGTTAGGAAAATGATCATTTCGAAATCGANATAAATACAATTATACATGCATACAAACAAACGTACATATACAAACAAATATCGTGTGATTCATAAATTTCGTAGAAAGTGATATATTGCGGTGAAAAAAAAAAAAAAAAAAAAAAAAATACATAAATATATGTTGAAATTAAAGAAAAGAGAAAAGGAAAAAAAAAAGTTAAGAAAATATGGTAAAAAAATGTTATCCTTTAATATAGATAAAAAAAAAAAAGGAAAATGATCCACGTTAGGAAAATGATCATTTCGAAATCGATTTCTCTCAACAGTGGAGAATAACACGTTTGGATATAAGAAAGAATGTGGAACTCGAATCTAAACGATGATACAAACTTACAATTACTTTTTTCAATTTTTTTTTTTTTTATAGAAATTTAGAAAATTAAGAGAGTAATAGTTTATAAACATCGTGGATTTTGCAAACGATCTCGCGCGAGATTTTTTATTCATTTGCGAATAATAATAGAAAAATAATTAACAGAAATAAATGAAAAGTTCGAAGACGAATGTAATAAAAGAAAAAGCATACATTATTGTAATCATTTTTAATATCGTTATCGACGATATCCTTTTTTGGATCCTTGACAACATACGAAATCCGAAAAAAAGAATATAAATATAATTAATAAATGAGACACTGTGAGTTAAGGATTAAATGAATGAATGGTAGGAGATGATTAAAAAATATAATCGAGGGTGAAATTAAATGAAAAATGAATGAGAATAATATAACAGATGAGATATTATTAACCAAAAAGACGAATTAAGCAAGCAAACAAACAAAGAAACAAAAAAGAATAAAACGCACGAGAAACCTGGTTCTATTTTAATTAATCCAAGCCCAAAATTATTTTGTTACATTTCTCTCATACTCTTTTCCATAACCAAATATATATGTACCATCAACTTTTTTATTTATTTATGTATATATACGTATATATATAAATATTTGTTATACAAAATTGATCCTCCTCCGCAGACTATTGACAGGCTTGGAGCCGCAGGTGCTACGAGGAAGGTGCAGCCGGGTATGATTGTCCACGGAAAATTGTTTAACGTGTTCCACGTGATGATAATAAAAACAAAACTAAACGAACCGAAAAAAAGGGCAAAAGAAAAAAAAGATGATTTTTTTTTTTTACAAGGCGTATCTTTTATTTTCATCTTTCTTCAAATTTATTATAACTTACGTTATCTATTTTCTTATTCTTTTTATTTCTAATTTTAACGAACAACAAGTCAACTTTTTATTTTCGTTTAACCTTCGTTGAAAGTGTTGATTAAAAGAATGGAAACAAAAAAAAATTCAAGAGAGAAGAAAATATGTTATTTTCTATTTTCTCGTATGATAAAAATAAAAAAAAAAAAGAGAAATTGATGAATTTATTATTTGGAAACGTTTATCGTGGACTCCTTTAGTTGTTCATCAATCGATTCGTAATATTTCGCATTTTACTTCGCACATTTTTCCTTTCGCTAAAAATCATTCCTTTCTATCCATTTCTCGAAAAATCATTTCCCTTTTTAAACCCTAACATCATTACTTTGTTTCCTTTCGTCTCATCTTTAGTCAAACAACGTCATATCGATTATTCACTAAAAAATCAATCGCTCAATCTAACGCATATTATCACTTCGTCTAATCACGCACTCGTCACGAAACTCGTTAGAGACATAAAAAGAAAAAAAAAAGGTCGCAATAATTTCGCTTCGATGATAGTCTCGAATCAAAATATTCATCACGAAAATATTTCACTTAAAAGTATGATCCGCATTAAAGATTTAGATGAACGGATCTATATTAGGATTAATTTCTAATCGTGATTATTATCGTTCATCGTTATATTTCATCCTCCCTTTTTGTTATTGCATGTATCATCCATTACGTTCGAGAGATCGATTACGATCGCTCGATATATTATATTATAGATCGTTATAAATCGTTTATTCTCCTTTTTTTCTCTTTCAGCAAAGAAGAAAAACTAATAATAACAAAAAATTAGGATTTCAGGTTTCATAAAATAGAAAACAAGAAAAAAACAATTATTTCTAAAAGGATCATTAATATTAATTAATTATCTTGTACGATCGATCATCTCGAACGATTTTACCAAACGAAAATCAAATCTTGTGAGACGCATGGGAATCCCACAAAAGTGTGTGTGTGTGTGTATTTTTTTTGTTCGTGCAGTTTGCATGAAGCATGTATTTTAAGCTCGATTATTATGTATTACATCAACGATGCATCCCTCATCATCTAGCTCTCATCATCTCTCGTAAAGCAATTTGCGATAAGTAAGGTAAACGAGAAATATATACATATAGAAAGAAAAAAAGAAGATTAAAGAAATGGAAAAACAAAACAAAAAATTAGAGAAAAACAAATATCCGACAGTTCGGTCATTTCTTTTTTTCTTTTCACAATAAAATCTTTCCTGCTAGATTGAAAGATTAAGCTCGAAAGGTGTTTTTAAATCAATGACCGAACCCTGACGGATATTTCTACTCGTATATCGTTCTACGTCGACCTTCGGAATTACGATAGCAAGGGGATCGTTTCGTTTGTTCTGCGAGGAAAACTTATTTGTATGTCTTACGTTTTCTTTGGTGACTACCACTACCAACAAAGAAACGAATTTAATTATCAAATCAATTTTAAATTATCAATTTTAATTTTTTATTTTTTTTGTTTTTGTTTTTACGCTTTGATTTTTATTTGTGAGATCGTTAGTTCATTCTTCTTCCTTTACCGCGTTTTTTAAGATATTGTAAATACTTCTTTGTTTTTCATTGCATAAAAGTTTTGTTCAAATAATAATAATAATATTATTAATATGAAAAATAATTACAAGTAAAATGGGGATAATTATTAAAAATGAATTGAAACGCGCAGATTAAAGCGACGTGATTTCTTTGCTGTTGGAAATTTAAATATTAAGTAAGGTACATACAATTTTAGAAATTAAGTCTTATGATTAAGTTAGCGATAAGTCAGCAGAGGTTGGCGGGGTACCTAACTCCGCAAACATTTTTTTCTTCCATTAATCCAGAAAATATCAACCCTTAAATAAATAAGTAATAAGTTCATTCAATCGAGCAAATTTTTAATAACGATAAAATTCAATTCAATTCTACTTTATTTGAAAGAACAATAAAAGGTGTACAAAAATCTTGTAAAATGATGTTGTTTTTTTTTTTATATAAAAAAAAAAACAAAAAAAAGAAGGATTGATGGAAGGAAAAAAAAGGAGCGGAATTGGGTGACCTAGGTTGGTTTTGAGCGAAGCATTATTAAACGTGGTGCCCCCAATATTCTAGCTTTCTGAGGAGGTAAGGATATTCTTCACCCGACAGAGAAGCACTTACAACTCACGACCTTTCTTCCTTCGTTTCCATCTACGTGATCAGAAACCAAAAAAAAAAAAAAAAAGAAAAAGAAACAGAGTCCCCGTATTATAAAAAAAAAAAAACAACCAAAGAGAAACACGTAAAAATCGGAGGATGTGTTTTTTCGATGTGTTACGTTTTTTTTCCGTAGTCACTTTCTCTCTCTATTTCTCTGGTGTGAATCCATTTGTTGATCGACTGTTGCCAATAGAAAAATCATCCGTGTTTTTTAATCATTGACTGTTTTTATACTGAATTTTTACACGATTTTGACATACACAAACAAACATACATGCATATTTACACTCACACAGCAAACACATATTTGAATATTTCTTTATTTAGCCTGCCGGCAACACCGTCGAAGGAATTTAAAATTTAGACTCGATTTAATCGAGCTTGTCGTTGCAAAAGAAGATTCAAAAAATAAAATATACGACGTTCTTATTTTTAAATTTCGTCGTATGTTAACTTGACTTCGCTTTTTTTTTTTATTCTTCTGTATATCAATGTCTTCTTTTAATCTCTTCGTCTGTGTGTTCTTCTACGTGTATTCTCTAATTGTATTTTTTTTTTTTTTTTTATATATGTATATATATTTTGCTTTTCGTTGAAATTTAATTCGCGTTATTTCAAGAGAATTTGATTGAAGGCTATTGGGGTTAAATCGACGTTTAAATTTTGAAGCCTGGTTGTAGTGGTGATGGAACCAGCCTTAGTTCGATGTCTTCATGTAGTACTTTTGTCTCATTCATCAGCATCAATCAAATCAATAATAATTGCAAAAAAAATATGAAAAAAAAGAAAAGAAAAGAATATCTCCGAATTTGAGGACACCCACATCTCATCACTCGACCGCTAACTTTCATCATTCGATTCAGTATGTGTGCGTGTGCGTGCCGTCTTTTTTTAATTAAAAAAAAGAAAATAATGAAAAAATATCGTAGATAGTCGTTTTCTCTATATTATGTAGTTTCTCCTTTCTCGCGATTAAATTAAAGAAAAAATATAACGAAGAAGATAAAAAAAAATAAAAGGAAAGGAAAAGAGAAGAAAAATTATTTAAAGACAAAAAAAAAAGAATCATAATAAATAAATGAAAGAAAGTAAAAAATATAAATACGAGTAAAAAAAGAAAAGTATACAAAAAAAAAAAGAGAGGAAAAAAAATACTAAATAGAGAAAACACATGCGTTGATTGAACTCGTCGAATGATCCTGACGAGAGAGAGAGAAAATTTTCAAACCCTGTTTACTCCCCCTTATTTTTTTTCTTTTACCTAGTATCATCCCTTTTGTGATCGTAGACAACGATCGATGGATCGCGAGGAAACGCGCGATTCGACAATCGTTCGTTCGCATCTTAGAAAAGCTCGTAGCACGATGATAGAAGAAATAATTTACAAATAGACAAAAAAGAAAACTAATGAAAATTAAAGAAAAAAAAAAAAAGAAAAAAAAAAGAAGAGAATTAATTAGTGCACTTGAAAACTACACGAGCAGGGTGAAGAGGACACTTTTTGATATTTTTATTTTTCAATCGTTCTCCTTCTCTATTTCTTTCTCTTTCTAAATCATCAAAATGTATAATAATTTGTACGATTTTGATTTTCAATGTTACAAACAAAATAAAAAAGAAAAAGAGAGAAAATGATTAGAAAGAATAGAAAGAGATAAAGAGAGAGAAAGAGACACACCATATTTAAACGTCAATTCGATCTGCTCGGAAGTTTTCACGTAGAAAATGCTTTTGTTTTCAAAGATTTGCGTGTTATCAGAAGAATCTCACGTGCATGTTTCGAACCTTCGATAAGCGAGCGTGTGTACACGTTTTTTCTTAAAAATATTATCAAATTATTGAAGTATTCAAATTAAGAGTTTATGAACAATGAAATAATGAGAGTTGTTTTTCGAAAGTGGCTCATTAATTAAAAATTCAGCTTTGCTTGTAAAAATACGAGCACAATTTCGTTCGAAGATTCGAGTTCGAATCTCGTCAAATTATAGGCTGTGCCAAAAATACATCGGAGGGTTAAAAAATATTTATAAATAGTTTGCAAAATTTAATAATAATTTTCGTTTTTTTTTTAAATTTGTCAAATAAAATTATTTTCTAAAATTACGAAACTTTAAAATATTTTTAAAAAAGTGTAATGTGAAATTTTAGAATCATATAAGAATTTTTGGTATACCCTGGTATAATAATCACAGTAGAAAATAATGCACATCACAAATAGTTGTTTTAGCAGCAACAGCATCATCAAATATAATAAAATATTCTAACAGCCACTTTCAAATAACATTATTTTTGTATTTTTTATTTCTGTATTAATTTTCATTCAAATTAATTGAAATATTGCTTAACTCTCGCTTATGGAGGAACCGTGAGTTCTCTTCTATCTTCGTCAACGCAAAATCTATTGCGTAGCACTGTTTAGCTTCAAACTATTAGTTAGACACATTAGCTGTTACAACACTACTTACTTACTTACTTATGTTTGTTTTTTTATGCTTGAAATCGTTGCGAGTTCTCACGGTATTAATCAAATATTCATTTCAATTAATAAACAAAATAATAATCCGCGATAGCTCGTAACGAAATATCACTTTTAATGCGGCCTGCTGATGCCAGAGTAGATCTCAGACGAGTTTAGGTACGTACACGAAGAAAAGAAAGAGGAACAACAATAAAAAGAAAAAAACAAAACCAAAAAAACTAAAAAACCATTTAAAAAAAAAAATATAAAGACAAAGAAAGAAASAAACAGACATTAAAAAAAAAGAACAAAATAAGAAAAACACGTACATAATATACGTCCTTGATCCTATCTTGCAAACTTGATCCTTGATCCAACAAATTGAACCAATACATCAATATATATATATTTCAATATAAATATCAATTGAAAATTCTCTGACACTACTTTAAAACACGTATATAATGTACACTGGAGAGGAACACTTGTTCGTATCGTTGGTTTTTTTATTAAACCGCTGCATGCCTGTTAAAAGTACATATATACATATAAATCAACCTCGAGTATGACTACGTTTCAACCCTAAACCAAATCCTATTTTAATATAATGATTTTTATCTTGTTAATGCGTTACATGTAAAACAATAACTTTTGTTGAACTTATACAAATTATTTTGAACATATTAAATAAATAAAATGTATGTACATATATATATACACTATAATGTAATTTTAGTTAAATTAGTTACATGTACTTAACAAGATTTTTCCAAATTTTACAATTTAAAATGAACGATAAAGATTAAAAAAGATCTAATAAGAATTAAAATTATTCATTATAGCAGAACACCATGAATTACATATATCGAATAAAATTGATTAGAAATTCGAAAAAAAATACAAACAAAAATTTATTTTTGAAACGAAGATGAAATTGTAAAAATGAGGTAGAAATGTTTGGTCATGCTCGGGTAATGGCGGGGAGAGACGGAAAGATAATAGAAAAGAAAAGCTTCCGTTACTCGTTGCCATAAAAAATAAACCGTCGTCTTCGTCGTCAACGTCGTCAACGTCGTCAACGTCGTCGTCTACGTCGTCGTCTACGTCGTCGTCGTCGTCGTCGAGGTCGACGAAGCCATGAGATCCAATCCTCTCCTGGACGACGAATTTTTTCCGCAGCTGGAAGAACTCAGAACGGAGTTGCAGAGAAGGGATCAGGAACTATTGGGGATGTCAGCTAAAATGAAAACATTGGAGGAACAACATCAGGATTATCAACGTCATATAGCCGTACTCAAGGAATCCTTATGCGCAAAAGAGGAACATTATAATATGTTACAAGCTGACGTAAGTGTTTCAAAAAATAATAACAATGTTGATAACAGGATTTTAAGAGTAGACAACAAGAATTTTATTACAAATTTTTTATTCAAAATAAATTAACCCCTTTTGAAAAAAAACCGGCCAAAAAAAAATCAATTTTTTTTTTATGTAAAAGAAACACAATTTAGAACATTGTCTTAGCAAAAAAATTAAAAAAATACAAAATTCATCAAAATTTTGATAGCAGCATAGGATACAACGCCGCTCGAGTTAACTCGAGCGTGCAACTTAAGGGGTTAATAAATAAAAAATAATTGTAAACGCGATTAAGATTATGTCATTTGTTATAGATTTAAAAATAAAAATATTTATTAAATTATTTAGAATAAACTATTGCTATTCGTTAGATCCAAATTAGGGAAATCTAATGTGTGTCATAAAAAATAATAATGTTAAATTCTTACCATTTAAATTATAATTCAAAGTAAAACAAATTTTCTAGAAAAACACTTAACAGATCAGATAAATAAATAAAAATAAGATAATTAAAGCTATTCAATGATGAATCAAACTTTTCTAATTGCACACAAAAGATTTTGTATTTTTTTACTCGTTTAAAACTAAGGGATGAAAGAATATAAACAAAAAAAAACAGCATTAGAAAGAGTTAGGTAGTTCTGTGACGTCCGTCGTAACGAAAGTGGCAAAGCTGCAAAGCTGCGAAATCGAATTTGGGAGAGCCCACCTACGCGGGAAAAGGAGGAAGGCCAAGCAAGCTGCAGAGTAGGAAACTGGGTCGTGGGAAGCATTTCTCTTGGCCTCTCCTCGCGTGTCGCTTCGAGTCATAGCGTAAATTCCGACATTCGAGTGTCGTATATGGTGTCAGATAACATATTACGTGCCTTTAAATATTACAGTGATTCGAATATACTTTGATTAATCATCTTGTTGTTGTTCTTATTCTTCTTATAAAAAAAATATCTTCGTTATTATTATTATTATTATTAATAATTAATACTATTCGTATGCGTAAGTTAGATGACATGTGTGTCGCCGGCACGTTTATCTTCCCAGGTCGAGGAAATGCGGCAAAGGTTGGAAGAGAAGAACAGGATGATCGAGAAGAAAACTCAAGCAGCAATGCAAGCGCAACAGGAACGCAACCGTATGAACAACGAGTTAACTGAACTTAAGGATCACATGGATATCAAGGATAGAAAAATCAACGTTCTTCAACGGAAGGTAAGATTTATTATTTATTTACATTAGCCTATATTTATATTCAAAAAAAATTTTTTTTTTTCAAATTTGACTCTTTTAAATAATTTTAACATGGCAATAAGATTGATAGAATCTGATGACCAAAGTTTTTCGCCAAGGTAATCTTCTTATATATTGATCATATCAATTTATTTATAATCCTTCAATTTTTGTAATAGTTTCAAGATATCAATTAATCTTTGTGAACGTAATATTTTTGTCTTTTAATATAATCGTCTTACGATCTTAAAATCGAATTTACGAGCAAGCGAATTTTATTTTAAATCCTTCGAAAATGTTCTAAAGGTTAATTGAATTTTCTTCGAAATTTCAAAGCGTGTCATGTGCGTTAGTTATCCGACCTATTTTATGATATTTATAGTGGTAGGTTATTAAATATTGCTTATATTAGATAGGTGAATGTTAGATAAGCGTTTTATTATTATTTTCTATCCTCTAGCGTAATATTATTTATAATATCGTTTCGTTTATCCCACACGTGTAGCATTTATTTTTCTTTATCTCACACATTCATATATTATTTTATATTTAATTTAAGTTACTTCTGTTATATTTGTAAAATAAAATCAACAGATGTAAATCATAGGTTTAAAATATTAAATAAAGCATCCTTAGATTGCGTTGTGTCTTTGGTTTATTTGATTTATTTTTCATTTCTTATGCACCTTACCTTATTTATTATTTAATTAAATTAATCTTATATCTATGAATGGTTTAAAAAAAAATGAAAAAAACGCATAATTTTGAGTTTTTATTTATAATCAATGAAAATTATGCGATTCTTTAATGTTTTTGTAGACAATGGACTTTTACACCATCTTCATAATAAACGACTTAATTTTGTATGTTTCATTTTTTGTTATAGGTTCTATTATTGTTTCACAAATTTTTTGTATTAATTTAGTTAAAAATATTATCATCCATTTTAGTACGTTAAAAAAAAAGTCCTTTTACCATTAGTTGAAAAATTAGATGAACCAAAAATACGAAGATGAGCTAATTAAAGGTAGGTGGTGACCCAATCATAATAATTGTTCATATGTTTAATTTTTATATATGTGAACTAATATTTAATTGATTCCATTAGATACCCAAATTCCTCTATTAACAAAACTTGAAAAAAAATCCTATATGAAATAAAATGTGAACGTTTCTAATTAAACATAAATAACGAAGTATGTTCATACAAAAGCATGATTAATCGTTATCAATTTGACTCGTTAGCAAATGTACACGTTGTTAACGAGGAACATATTCGTTACGTAAACACACAAAGATGTCTGTTATATATACATATTTAATGTAAATTAAATTATAAACAACATATAACATAATATTTGTATCTTTTACTAATCAAATAATCTTATGTTTACGAGGATTTTGGGGAGATGATGAAAAAGAATTAGTGGTGATGGTAGTGGTGGGGATGTCAAAAAGATCCAAAAGTTAAAAGATGAGTTCGTGTGTAACTGCAGATCGAAAATCTGGAGGATCTGCTGAAAGAAAAGGACAACCAGGTTGATATGACCAGAGCCAGGTTAACGGCTATGCAGGCCCACCATTGCAGTAGCGAAGGTGCTCTTAGTACTCTCGAAGAAGCAATAGAAGATAAGGAAAAGCAAATGGCACAATTACGGGAACAGAGGGATCGCGCTGAACAAGAGAAACAGGAAGAAAGGGAATTACATGAGCGAGAAATTGCCGAGTACAAAATGAAGATTCATGCTTTCGAGTCTGAAGTGAGTTAAGATTCATCGTTGACTCTTTTATTTTTATTTATTTTCTCTTCGACGTCTCTACGAATTTATCTACCAAGATAATTGAGTTAAATAGTTGACTCTGTTTCTTCGTTAAAAAGATACAATTTTCCTTTGGGGGATTTCTACCCTCGGGGGTTTGACGTCTTATTGGATAAAAAAAGATCCGATAAAGTCAAAATTGTTTCTTTTTTTAAATATAGCAGTAAATAAATATTTTTAAAGTTTTGTATTAAATAGGTAAATGTTTTTGTCTTGAAAGAAATTAGTGGCTATATTTAATTAGGAATTGAGGTTACCAGTTTGTTATCAAATTTATTTTTAGGAAAACACAATTTCCCCTTCCTTTGTTATACAATTATAAAAATACCTTTTAACCAGGTGGAGAAACTTGGTGCTCGATTGGAAAGAGCACAAGCAGAAAAAGATCGACTTGAGGCAAAACTAGAAAGTTCGCAATCTGAGTTAGGCAAGAGCAAAGCCGAACTGGACAAAGCAGCATCCGAAGTCGGTCGCAGTGGAGCCGATTGGGAAGCCGCCAAGCAAAAGTTGGCCAGGTTGGAATTAGAGAAGGAAAGACTCAGGCACGAAATTGAAAGGACACAGACCTATGGTAGGAGTACCTTGAATTCTTCTGAGGAAATAGATCGAATTCAAGAAAGAGCAGAGAAAACAGCAGCTGATTTGAGAAGAGCTCAAGCTGAACTTAGGGTTACACAAGCCGATAATGAAAGGGCAATGGCCGAAGCTGCTGCCCTTCAAGAAAAGGTAAGATTCTTGCTAATTGGTAAATTCTTGCAATTTGTAATAAATTTGTAAATTTTATTGAAGTAGAATTAATTTCATTCGTAGATATGAATAAAACACAAGATTGAAGTAAATGTACAACAGGGTAGCATAAAAATCAGTTTATATTTACAATTATTCATTTCTTTATCGATTACTACGAGTAATCCTTAACATTTGTTTGCAATCAAACATCTCCATACTCAAATAATAAATATTCGCTAGGTAGAGTCCTGAATAGTTAAAAGGTTAGAACAATCAACCAGAAATAGGAATACTCGTGGTTTGAATTCCGGATCAATATTTTCACGAATCCGACATTTGTTAATTAAACGTGTATACAACAATAATTCATTTTGGTTAACCAATTTATATGCTAGCCCTATTTCGTATGACCTTTAGATTGATCGATCGCCTGAATCAACTTGATAGTTTAGCTCCAGGCCAACTTTCAAAAGGATCAATCTCCCATTTTCGTGAACAATCGGCATTAATTGCAATCGATTTACATCCTTATCTGTCTCATCATCTTCCCTTTACTTTGCCTATCTCATGGTTCTATCGTGGAAACTCATGTAACCAATGAGAATCAATTTCTAATCAGAGCTTCCTTCTTCGCCTGGACATTTACCACAATCTACACGATATAAAACTCATCTTTTAGAGGAAGCAGAATCGATATAACTATCTTCCCGACCAAACGACTGGAAAATTGTTCAAAAATGATCTAATTCGTTACACCAAAGATAGACACCTTGAATAAATTAAACAATGTTTCTCCAATTAGATTTTCTTTGAGCCGGGCTTATCTATCACGTTACTTTCAAGAAATTTTATAAGAACTTAAAGCATAAATATCGATCAGGTTTTAATCTAACTGACTTAATCGCAATTGTTAATATTTTATTATCTTTCTTTTCTATATCTATGTTTTTCCCCAATAATATCATTCGGATTCATTTATTGATAATTTATTATTCAATGAGGATAATGTTTGATATCAAAGAAAGTTCAAGAGATACTTACATCAATCAATGCTAGAGAAATAGACAAGATAATCCTAGTCCGATTCAAACAATATATGTAGAAACGTATCAACGTCACGTTAATTATGGATTATAACGAGCAACGAGTATGTGCTTACATTATGCCCTGTTATATATATATGTATGTGTATATAGTATACTTACCTACTGTACGCTTGGTGGTTTTGTAGTATGCGTGAAATGATATGGCTATTACCGGAGGGAAAGTATATGATAGGAAACGATGTGGGTTAATCCTTTTATCATTTAATAAGTCACATTAAGTGAAGCTTGTTAAAGTGCTGAAATAATATTTTACTGTACAGTTATTATTATAATAGTAAGATGAATAAATAATTATCAGCAATATTTAATTTGAATTTTTGTATGTACCGTTGTATTGTTAGTTTTTTGTGGTTTCAAGGAAACCTATTAAGAAGTACCAATACTCAATAATACACAGCCCAACAAAAATATTAATCATACTGCAAATAATTATAAACTCACCTTCGTGAATAATAAAAGAATCTTTTATGAGGATTGACCTTATTCATTTAACAATTAGAAATACTTTTATCAATAATATTAAAATATTTTAAATTTTGGAATTCTAAAACTGTTTGTGAATGATTGAAAATTAATTGTTTTTTAAAGGTTGAGAAGAGTCAAGGTGAGGTGTACAGGCTAAAGGCAAGATTAGAAAATGCTCAGACGGAACAAGAAAGTCTACGAGAGGAATATGATCGAGCTCAATCATCAGCAGCACGTCTTCATTCGGAAAAAGAAAAGGCAATAGGTGAACTCGAAAAAGCCCAAGAGGAACTGGAACGCACCCAAGCCACACTCGGCAAGGCACAATTGCAGCAAGACAAATTGCAGAATTTACTCGATAAAACTCAAAGCGAGGTAGACAAACTTCAAGAGAAACTCGACAAATCACAAACCGAAGTTCGTAGAGTAAGTAAAATAAATTTTGATCTTATATACAATTGAATTTATCTTTAACAATCATAAAAAAATGATCAAATTAAAATAAATTCCTTTATCATTTTTTAGATGCAAATGGAAAGAGAAAAACAAAATTATGATTTTGAGAATTTGCAAAGTCAATTGGACAAGGCATTGGGTCAATCAACCAGAATGCAAAAAGAACGAGAAACGATACAGTTGGAGGTTGATCGTCTTCAAGACAAATACGAAAAAGCTCAGGTAAGTAATCAACTTGTTCAATTAAAAGGTGAGACAATTGCAAAGATGATTTCTTATTTATTTCGTTGTCTGTTATTATAGATGATCATGCAACGACTTCAGAAGGAAAGAGACACCTTCCAAGTAGAAACAGAAACGTTGAACGAAAGGATAGAGTTCCAACAGAGTCAAATAGCTAAGATGCAACGTGAAAAGGAAAATGTATTGTCCGAGCTCGAATTAGTGAAAGAAAGATGGGACAAGACGCACAATTCTCATCAGAAGCTAACCGTGAGTAAATGGATAATTGATAAAAGAAGTTTAATAGTTAAATTGTAACTGTAACATATTTTTTCCATTTCATTTAGATCGAGCGAGATGACGCATTAACAGAGGTTAAAATTTTAAAAGAGAAACTGGAAAAAGCTCAATATTCTATAACAAAAGCTCACGAGGAACGAGAAAGCGTAAGCAAGGAATTTGAAAAAATGTTAGAGAAATACGACAGGTAAGATTTATCTTATTTATATCGATATTTACTATTACCTACTATCGAATATTATTTAATTTATTAATAACCGATTATCGCGTACAGAGCTCAGAGCGACGTGTATCGGCTACAAAACCGAATCGAAGTGATGGAAGCCGACAAGGATAGATTGGAGCTCGAAGCTGAGAAGCAACAGATGCTGACGGCTAAGAGTAGAGAGGACGCGCGTAAAGCTCAAGAAGAATTAGCCAGGGTCCAAGAGATGTACGACAGGGCTGCTTTACAGCTTGGTCGAACGAAAGAACAGGAAGAGAAATCTAAAGAGGACCTGGATAGGCTGGCGGTCGATCTCGAGATGATGCGCGAACGTTACGAAAAATCTCAAATAGAATTGCGTCGTTTACAGAACGAACGTGAAAAATTGGTAGGTGACAACGAACGAATAACATTCGAATTGGATAGAGCGCATACGCAATTGAACAAGGTTCAAGCGGCTATGGAGAAAACCCAGGAAGAATTGGCACGTATGCAGTTGGAGATCGAAAAGGTTTACGAGAAATACGACCGCCAGCAAGCCGAAGTTAGGAAAGCTCAAGCTGAGGCTGAGAGATCTAAAGCCGAAGCTGAAAGCGCGCGAGTCGAGTGCGAAAGGTACGCGACTCGATTCGGTAAATATCAGGAAACTCAAGGACGTCAGAAGGAGGAAAACGAATTGGCGAAACTGGAGGTCGAGAGGCTACGTGATCGTCTGGAGAAGGCACTGGCGGAATTGGAGCGTGCGAGGAAGGCCGAGCAGGACGCATCGAGGTTGCGCGCCGACTTGGAACGAGCGGAGGGTGTTCGAGGTAAATACCAGTACGAACAGGAGAAATGGCAGAGCGAGGGTAGTAGGCTACAACAGGAGGTCGAGAAACTGAGGGAACGCCTAGAGGGTCGGGAAGCCGAATTGAAGAGGCACCAATCGAGCAACGCAGAACTCGAGGAGAAGCTGCACGAGACGCAGCTTCAGCTCGAGCGTGCTCGCGAGGAAACTAACAAGGCAAATGCCGCGCAAGAGAGGAATCGCGGCGAAATCGAAAGGGCTAGGATCGAGACCGAGAAGATACGTGATCGGCACGATAAAATCAAGGCTAAGTCAGACGCCCTCGAAGCGGACAACGAAAAACTCCGCGTCGAGATCGTCAGGCTGGAGAGGTTGATGCAGACCGAGGGTAAAACGAGATCCGAGAGCGCGAGCATCGAAGTCGAACGGTTGAGAGCAAGCCTGGACAAGGCCTTGACCGCTCGTAATCAGGTTGAACTCGAGGCTGGTAGATTGGCTAAAGAACTCGAGAAGGTTCATATGCAGACGACCAAGTATCAAGAGGCAGCCGAGTTGAACAAGAAGGAGCTCGAGCGTCTAGCCGCTGAGATGACCTTGCTAAGAGAGGAGAGGGACGCGCTCCATCAGGAGCTACGCCGCAACAATATGCTTCAACAGCAGAAGCAACAAGTCACCGAGGATGTGGTGAGAATGGAACACGAGTTGCAACTGGCGCAACGAGAGCGCGACAAGATGGCGGCCATATTGGAGAACAGGGAAAAACATTCGGAGAAGATAGAAAAGATCAAGGAAAAACTCGAGGCCGAGGCTAAGCAATTGCAGGTCGAGAGGGATCAATTGGTTATTCAATTAGAAAAATCTCAAGAGATGTTGGTCAATTTCCAACAGGAATTGAATGCAAACGAGGCGGAACTCGAGCGTCAACGGGAAGAGGTGCGCCGTTTGCAGCAACTGCAACAACAACGAGTGCACGCGCAAACACCCGATCGTGCCGCGAAGGAAGCTCTCGAGGCAAACATGCGGGAGGTACATCGATTGAATCAACAAATTCAAACGCTTACGCAGGCACAAACAAAGGAACGCCAGAGAGCGGAGCAAGCGGAAAAACGTGTGCAAGAACTTCAAAGGCAGATCACAACAAGGGGTGCCGAAAGTGGTTCGGTCGCCACCGAGGCGCAACTCGAACAATGGAGGAAACTCTGCGAAACGGAGAAACAACGCGCGGACGCTGCTGAGAGACAAGCAACGGAACTTCAGAAGCACATCCAATCGATCGAGAGACAATTACACGCCCAGCAACAGCAAATACAACAAATGCAGATGACGATTCAACAGCAGCAACAACAGCTTCAACAACAACCGGCAGCCGGGCCGCAAACGCAGAACGGGCAGGAGGCGGCTCGATTAAGAAAAGAACTTGAGCGCGCTCAAGAGGAAATTAAACAGGGCACGGTTGAACGCGAGAGGTTTAAGGCGCAGCTCGAGATGCTGTGCCAGGAAATCGAGAAAAATCAGGTTAGAAGCAGCAGCATCATCATCGTCGTCATCGTCATTATAATTATCATCATCATCATCATCATCATCATCATCATTATTATCACCATCATTACTACCACCTTTGTCATCACCACGATCACCATCACTACTACTACAACAAATATTACTACTATTATTGCAACAATTAAGCACAACTATAGTGATAATGTATACTGGCACAAATCCTCCTCAATTGTTATCCAACGCGAGCACTTCAGCCCGAATATATATATATACTACATATATATATATATATATATATATCTCTATCTCTGCGTTGATTATTGTTGTTCGTCGGTAGCATCGCTGGAATCACGTGATGGAGAGTCCACGTGAAGTTATCTATTTATCACTAACTATAATCACTCTTTATGTCTCTCTCACTCTCTCTTCACTCACTATCTTTGTCTCTCTCTCTCTGTCATCACCATATATATATATAATCACCATCATCGTGATCCTCGTCGATGGCGATGCGGCGGGAACTGAAGCGGACGCTTCTCTTCGACGGATGTGTATACTTGTCACTCTAAATCTCACTCTTTCTCTCTCTCTCTCTTTTTCTCACTCTCACTCTCTCTTAAATTATATATATATTTCACGGGACATATATATATGCAATATCATAGACATATATGTATGTAACAAAACATAAAAAATAATAAATGGCCAGTCGGACAGAGAAGGCAAAAAATATAAATTAAAAATATGTAAATAGAAAAAAATACAAAGAAATCACATCCACGTTGTTGCACTACCCGTGAGCACTACTTTCTTCACACTTTGTTAATTGAAAGAAAAAAAAAAAGAAAATAAGAACAAAAAACAATAAACAATACTAAATACCTTCTCGAGTCGCCGCAGCACGCTACGATGTCATGCAGCACGACGCAATATTTTTAATAACCGCCTTCATCGTCGTTCCTTCGATATATTTTTGGTTGTTGTTATTATTATTATTATTATTTATTATTATTATTATTATTATCATCAGAACCAATCACTTTTTCAATCATCGCCATTTATCCTAGCTCAAACTCTTGCTAATTGTTCACCAACGATTGGCACGAGTTTCATGCGCTCACCGATTTTTCAAATTTATTCGCCATATTTCGAATTAATTATTTATTCGATAATCTTTTTTTTCATTTTTTTTTTAGCACGTTCGATATTTTCTATCATATTGCGATTGCGATTGCGATTATATTTTTCTAATAATTATTATTATTATTTATTGGCGTTAATTTTGATATTATTTTCAATCGTTATCTTTATGAATTATTGTTATTGACGTTGTTATTGCTATTATTATTATCATTATTATTATTATTGTTATTATTGTTATTATTATTCTTGTTCTTCTTCTAATTATTATTGTCATTATTATTACGATTATCATTGTTCTGAACGTAATAACGAAGAAGGAGTGGACAATGCTTTATCGCGTAAATTCGAATTTAATGAAAGAAAAATATTATTAAAATATAAATTATTTATGATATTTATTTTCTGTTTTGCGCTATATTCTTCGGTTGAGCTTGTGAAGATGCTTATTAGCGATATTACCGCTTAAATCAAAATTAGCATGGCTGTGTCCACACCTTCTCGATCATATTATTATATTTGCTATATTGTTATTCTCACTTATTGTATGCGCGTGAAACGCAATGATCACGATAGACGATCTTTTTTTCTTATCTTCAATTTTTAATGTATCAAAAAGATCATTTTGAAATGTTTTATTCCATAATCCTTGGAAAAGATCGGGCGTCGTGATTACGCGTGTCAAAATTTTCATTGTACATATATATATTGTATATATATGCGTTTATATTTTTCTTTATTATTATTATTATTATTATTATTATTATTATAATTATTATTATTATTATTATTATTATTATTATTATTATTATTATTATTCGTTCTATTTCTACACCATGATACGTAAATACTTATCTCGATGATTACTCTTGTTTAATTATTATTTATTTAATTCTTATTATTATTTAAATATGTTTATGATTTTTAATATTATTTTATTATTCTTATTATAGCAATATTGTTATGATTATGATTATGATTATTATTATTATTATTATTATTATTATTATTGCAATATAGCCGTAGATATCGAAAAGCGTTATTATTTATGCGCTGACACGCAAAAATTTCAATCGCCTTGTTATCATTTTTCTAAATATGTATGTACATTGTATATACATATATATATACATTTATATACTTCTATTTTTTTTTTAAATTTTTGACTGTGATTATTTCGAGTGAAAAAGAAATTTGTCAGAAAAATAACAATAACAAAAAGTAATCTCGAAATAATCACAGTTTTTTTGAAATTTGAGCATTTTTAGCAAATTAATACTGCTATTAGTTAAATAGGAAAATTATTGAGAAATTGAAAAGAAACGTTTTGTTTCCTCTTCTCAGGTGGATCTCCACGAGGCGAACAAGAAACTAAAAGCTGGAGCCGCGAAAGCTGGCGCCGATTCTAGCCAAGAGAAGAAACAATTGGAAGAACAGAAACGTCAGATGGAGGAACAGAGGAGACAAGTGGAGGAACGAGCCAAATCCATAGAACAAAAAGCTAGAACGATAGAAGAGAAGGAGAGGACGCTCCAAGGTCTCGACCAAGATTTGAAAAAACGTAAAGCGAAAATGGATCAGTTGGAACAACAATTACAAAGGGTAAAAATTCATTCTAACACTCAAAAATTTCAATTACTAAAATTATTCCATAATTTTTGATAGAATAAAGCAAAAATTTTATGAATTCTATTGGTTATTATATTTAGGGACAAATTTGTCTTTTTAACTATGTAGAATTTAAAGAAATTCGATGTCTTATCAATTTGATTCTTTCTGTCAACCTATAAAATGATAGTCAATCAATAAATTTCAGTACAAATTAAGAACTCTTTAGCTAACGTAACCTATTTTGTTATTTTCACGGTAAATTTTTTTAATTTTTATATATAATATATTAATAATAATTATTATTATTATAATTTTTCGATGTAAATTAATTTGATATAATTTTTAACCCTTTGACTGCCACTCCGAAATTATATGTTTTACCCAGGACGCCAGGGCATTATTTTTATTATTCAAAGAATATAATGGCAAAATAATAATATAAATTGATGTTAATAAAAAATTTTAATTGTTTAATAGGGCACTTTTTATTTCAAAGTATCTTCTATATATTGGCCATATTCAAATACACTAACTTTTAATTTTCATTTAGTTTTTACAATTATAAAAGGTTCATACGCTCCAGTCACCAATGATTACCATGACGTCTCAAGAGAAACCATGACCGGTCGTATATGACCAACATAGCAGTCAAAGTGTTAATTAGAAGCCAATAATTTGCGCTATATTTTAGAACAAATGAAATACTTGACAGGTGTCGATATGTTTAACGATTTAAAAAAAAAAAATAATTTTACAGAGCGGTGGGTCACCGGATAAGAGATTGGCGGAAATGCAAAAATCATTGGAAGCTGCCGAAAAGGAATTGGAAAAGGCAAAGGAAGCGTCCGAGAGAAGCACAGCGGAAACTGAAAGGCTGTTGCAACTCGTACAAATGACGCAGGAAGAACAAAACACGAAGGAGAAGAAAATCAGAGAACTTCAAGAGTAAGTAACAATTTATTTATAAATATATTACGATTGATTGTAATAGAATTTAATTTTTAATTGATTCAATTTCAATTAAAAAATTCTTTCTTTTTTTTCTTGTTTTTTTTTTTTTTTTTTTTTTTTTTTTAATTATTCAGTGCACTCAAAGCCGCACAAGCCAAGTTGAAACAAGCTGCAACTGCACAGCAACAAGAGGTCAGTATAATTTTATATTTTAATTGCTAATAATCAATTATATCTAACTAATATCTTCATAATTCTAATAACAACAATTTCATTCTCAAATTTCCACGCTGCCTTTGGATTTGCAACAATGGCGTTCGTATTTTTAAACCTTTTCACGCTATCCCGGCTTATCGCATAAATTTTCTCACGCTTTGTGATTGTTCCTTGTAAAAAAAAAAAATAACACCATTGATAATAAAAAATATCATAAAAATAAAGGCGGGACCCGCCGGATTCCTAAAAAGCTTCTTCTAAGGTCGATTTTCGTTGGGAACGCCTTCTCCGTTCTTTTTAGTACAATTTGCATTAAAAGCAAACTTTATGATTATAATATACGATTATAAAATAATATTAAACATAATGAAATACTAATAATAATAATAATAAAATTAATAATAATAATATTAAAAATAATAATATAAACCATAATAACAATAAAAATAATAATAATAATAATAATAATAAATAAATAAATTATAAATAATATAATAATAATTAATAATTTTAAAAAATATCAACAATAATAATAACGAACGAAGTGAAGATCGCTATAAAACAAAATTACGGTCGACATGGAGAAAATACACATGCACATTATACATGCATACATACGTCAAGAGTTATATATATGTGTGTGCGCGTAGTATATATGTGTATAAATATTTTACGTAATGCTGCGACCATTGTTAACATATTTAATAACGTATATAGCAAAGAAAGATGATGACGATAATAACAATAATATTTAAAGTATACGTATATAAATAATATAAATAATATAAATAATAATGCGATATAGAAAACGGGAGGAGCCGACGGCTAAAACAATAATATTTCATTATTATTATTATTATTATTATTATTATTATTATTATTATTATTATTATTATTATTATNTATTATTATTATTATTATTATTATTATTATTATTATTATTATTATTATTATTATTATTATTATTATTATTATTATTATTATTAATATTAATATTATTATTTTGAGAGAAGAAAAACGAAATATTACGTTTATGTACATATTCGCATACATACGAAACCAAAATGTGACCATGACAAGATTAAAAAAAGATACAAAAAATTAGAAAAAAAAACAGAAGATATCTGAATGTGTGTATTTACGAGTTTACCATCGAAATATATATAAATATACACACGTTTATAAATTTACATATACATACATACATATATATGTATGTATATATATGTAAATGTAAATGAAAATAAAGACAGAAGCAGAATATGCAAGATTTTGAAAAAAAGATAGAGAAACATAATAAAAAAGAGAAATTTAAATCGAGAAAGAACTTCAAACGGATTTGTTTTCGATTTAACAAAAATCGTTGGACAAACAGAGTTAAACCGATAAAAAATATTTAAAGATGAATAAATGAATAACACAATGAGAATGGAAATAAAAAATGAACCGAAAAAATTAATAATAAAGTAATTAATAAAAAAAGAAATTACATTTCGTTTATGTCGACTGACGAGGCATGAGAAGACGCACAAACGAAGAAGAAGCAAATATAAAATAAATGGAAACCGAAGAAAATAAGAAGAAAAAAAAAATAAACCCACACACAAAAGAATGTCTCGATATCTATCCGTAATTTTTCCAATAATTGTTCAACAAACAAAAAAAAACGAAAAACATATTGAATATTATCTAAAAATTTCGCCTAATTTTTCCATACGTTTGTTTCTTCCACTTCTTCTATTTCTTCTACTTTGAATGAATTCTCTTCTAAACCACCCCCACCCCTCTCCCTCTGCAAACTCGCGCTTAAGTTACCTGTCTGTCATGCAAACCCTTTCGTGGCAATCTTCTTCGCACTTGGTCCATGTCGCAAAAAAAAAAAACGCCTGCAGGATTCCTTGGACGAATTGAAAGGTGTTATGGACAAAAGATCTCGTATAAATGACGATTGGAAGAACGAGATGAAAAATCTTAGCGGTAACAGGACTATGACTAAGGATGACGAGGAAAAGGACGAGATTGTGTCGTGTAAAAAAGATTTGGAGGATAAAAATCGCAGAATCATGGAACTCGAAGAGGAAATGTGTTCGATGAAAAATCTTCTTGAAAATTCGAAAGAAATTCAACAAGTTAAATTTGTTAACACGAAAGACAACAACGACGAGTCTTGGAAAAAGGAGGTTGAAGCTAAGAATCGTAGGATCATTGAATTGGAACAAGTTATGGCATCATTGGAAAATTTCTTGAAGGAACATACCGATACCGAAGGTATCAGAGAACTCGAGGCCATTGTAGAAAGGAAAAATATGAGAATCGACGAACTCGAGGATACCGTTGCCGAGTTCGAAGATTTTCTTAAAGAAAATCCTGATGTCAAAGAATTACACGATTTACGCCGACAAGTTAAAGTTTCTGATAGAAGGATTCAAGAATTAGAAGATTGGATACGTAGAAATGATGAAACTACTACCGAAGGTGGAATTAATCGTGCTAGAATCATGGAACTCGAGGAAATGGTCACTCATTTGGAGGATTATGTTAAGAAACATAACGTTGATGTACTCAAACAGAAACTTCAAGATCGGGAATGTAGAATCGAACAACTTCAATCTCGCGTCAATACTTTGGAAAAGGAATTGATCAAATTCGAACAGAATCTCGAATGTAAGCAACAATATTTTTTAAAACAAATATATTTTTATTATATTAAAGGTAACAAAAGAAAGTTCGTGCCGTTTTTAGATTTATCTCGAACATTGATTAATAATGGCACAAACTATCTTAGTTACCAACCTTAATTGTAAGTTGATTTATTTTAACAAATAAACATTGATATCGACAGTTCATAAGACATCCTTGGAGAGTACGAAGTGTCACTTGAAGGATTCAGCCAATGATCCAATAGTTTCTAACAACGATACTCGTGTGAAAGAACTCGAAAGATTGGTATCGGAAAAAAATGTAAAAATTGATGAATTAGAGGAACGAATCGTCGAGTCAAAAGATCAAATAACCGAGATGCAAAAAGAGATGGCCAGATTGGAAAGAGAATTGAGCGAATACGAGGCGGAAGATATTGGCGTGCTTAAAGAAGAGATAAGAGTAAGGGACGAAAGGATTTTACAATTGGAAGACGAAATCGATTCCCTTGAAAGGGCTTTTAACGAGGGAGTCGATCTCGAACAGATTGAAGAGCTTATGAACGTTATTAGTAAAAAACAGGACAAGGAACGTCAGTTTGAAAAGGATATTGAATGTAAAAAAAATCGAATCGAGGAACTTAGCGAGGCTCTTCGTGAAAGTGTCGTTATTGCCACTGACGGGGAGAAAAGACTTCAACGAGAGGAAAAGTTGAAAAAGAATGCCCTCGAAAGAGTAAGTTAAAAATTCACATTTCATTAATTAACTTGTCAAATAATAAAGAAAAGAAAAGTACGAACATTTAATCGACGATTCGTTGACACTTTTGTCCAAAAGTTATATTATATTCATTTTTCTTTTACAAACTTTTAGATTAACTTTTTAGACTTCAAACTTTATTGCAATTTTATAATTTGACAAAAAGATTAACTTTAAATTAGTTTTGAAAATGAATAATTAATTTTTTTATAAACGTCACTTAGGAATTTTGGACTGAATATTTGATGGATTGTATTTAATTATAAATTATGATTTTATTAAAGGTTGCAAAACTCGAGCAAAGAATAGCTTCGATGCAAACAGCATCAGCTTTGAAATGTCCTACGTGCAGACCACTGCTTTCTAAGCTTCAAACTTCCGAAAAAATGCTTCAACGTTTGACCGAAGAAAGATGCTCTCAATTGGAAGATCTTCATCAAATGAAGTATGTACAATTTTATTCGTACAAATTTAAAAAAAATAATAACACATAAATAAAATAAAAATATAAATAAAAATTATCTTTACAGACGAGAAGCATTGAAAGCAGCTGTTTCAGAAAAGGACGCACACTTGGCATTGCTCGAACTTTCGGGTATAAAAACAGCTTTGCAGGCCGATCAAGCTGACAAATTAAAAGCTGAAAGAAAGAAATTACTTGACAGGCTGAAAAAAGAAGTACATATTATATTAGAATATTATTTATGAACTTTAAAAATACTTATTTATAATTGTTCAATACAATAAATGAAGTTATATTCATGAACCCCCTTCTTCATTGGGGGTTTGCCCGATATAAGGAGGGTTACCTAATTTCACATAGGAAATATTTTCATAAAAAATTCATTTATATGCTTTTAACATGAAATGAAATATTTCAGGATGAAAGAAGTATTGAAATGTCTTTAGAAACGAGCTCATTGGATTCGGATACAACCATACAAGCATTTGCAGAAATACTCGAAACATCTGAGGACGAGGACAATAAGGATACGGTTGATGATAACGAAGATCCTGTCGACAAGGCGAGTTCTCATAAATCAGAGATCACCACTACCAACGGCGACAGCTGCAACCATGCGTAAGTTAAAGAGAAAAGTAATTAAAATATTAAATCGTTTAATTAGTTTTTTCTTTTGTTTGTTTTACAGTACATTAATCACGAATAAATTTTATAAAGAGAACAGAAGAGAAAAAAACAAGTTTTTGTTAAATTGTTAATTGAATTTAAACTTTAAAAATAATACAAGAATAACAAAAGAAACTATTGAATTATTTTAACTTATAATTTTTTGTTTATTTGTTTATTTTTGCAGTACGACGGATTCTAGAGAAAGAGAGTGAGTGCACAAGTAGTATCAGCAGCTAATAACCAAAACAAAATCAACATACATCACCACCCCAACAAGGAAATAATACCAGATAAGTAAACGGAGATGATTCTACGATATTTCAGTGTAGAGAAACAAAACCAACCAACAAAACAAACCAAAAAAAAAAAAAAGAGAAAAAAAATTACTAAGATTGTTCCTTTCGTTTCTTCGATGTTGTCATGTGCACCCACACGCAATCGTAGAAGCAGATTTAGAAAGTATATTTAGAATTGTAGAAAAAAAAAACAGAGAGCAAAAGAGAGAAAGAAAGAAAGAAAGAGAGAAAGAGAGATAGAGAGCGAGAATGAAAGAAAGGGAGAAAGAGAGAGAGAGAGAGAGAGAGAGAGAGAGAGATGGTGAGAGAAAGTTTGAGAAAGAGTGAGAGAGTGTGAAAGAAAACATAAAAAAAAAACAACAATAAACGGAAACGAAATGAAAGGAAATAGTCTAGTGTGACACAAAGTAATATTTAATATTTAACTACAATAACAACGACAACATCAACAACAAACCAACAACAACAACAGACAACAACTCCTAATCTAATCTCGTCGTAGTCGTCATATTAATCATCATTCATCAATCGCAATGATCATCGTCGTCATCATCATCATCATCATCATCATTATCATCATCATCATCATCATCATTATCTTCATCATCGTCATATTTAAAGTATCATCTATACATCTCCTCGTTAAAATATCATTTTTGCGCGAACAACAAAAAATAAAATCATTTTAATTGTTCGCGCAAAAAACGTTTTCTCGTGATAAGGATTAATTAAAGTAAAATTTAATTAATCCTTATATTATAACGATAGAATTTCGGTTCGGAATGACTTTTTTTTTAAGTGTTCATCGATATGGAATACTCAAGGTGTTCACGATTTATTTTCATTAAAAAAAAACTAAAACGGCCTATCGTCGAGACGTGCGTCATCCTTGTTAACGCGGGTTTCTTAAATCTCAATTGGAATTATTATTCTTTTTTTTTCTTTAATTAGTTTTTATTCTCATTTTATTTTTTTTTTTATTTTTTTTTTTTTTTGCAATAGGAATCTTGGAAAAAAATTGAAGAGAAATTTGTTTATAGCAAAAAATAAGAAATAGAGAAAGAGAGAGAGAGAAAGAGAGACGATAATTGCGAAAAAGTATATGTTTTCTAACGATGTTAACGATTTGTTGGTTAAAAACGTGGGAAGAGGAGAATGGTTAGGCACACTCCTGAGTAAACGACAGTTCAGAGCTTACTCAATTTAAATTTAAACGTTCACGCGTTTCCACAAGAAAATATACACATACATGACCGAGTAAATACAAGTACTACTAATACATATTTTTCAGTGTTTACTTTCAATACGATTAATTATTATAATTAATATCGCGAGAAAATAAAAAGAAAAAGAATTAGATAGAGAAAGCTGATAAGAATTTTATTTTGCTGCTGTTTATTTTTTTTTCTTTTCCTCTATTTGTTCACGTGATTTTATTTTTGTTTTCTTTTGGATTTCTTGTCACGGGTCCAAAAATGATCTTCGTTGTATAACTATTAGGTATTATATAAATAGTTACGAATAAAGAGGAGTCCGAGAGTGAAAAAAGTAAAAACAAAAAAAAAAAGTAAATATTAGGTGGTACGGAAAGTCGTTTCGTTTTTCTTTTGTAAAAATGAAGATAATTTTTGCTTCGAGGTTAATCCTAAATCTTTCAAGTGGTCATAAATAGTTGAATTTGATAAATTTAACCTCTCATCGATCTCATGTGTTACTATTTATCGGTTTGCATCAACTAATGCCATTGTTGCGTCAACAAAAAACGAAACGACTTTCCGGACTACCTAATAGAATCGATGACAGTAAAAAAATGACGAGATATTATCATAAGTAATATTTTTAAAACAAAAGTTAAATAAATATTGGAAAATAACGAGAGAGAGAGAGAGAGAGAGAGAGAGAGAGAGAGTGAGAGAGAGAGAGAGAAGGCATTTTATTTTAATAATCAAAAATAGCGGCAAATGACATTTGATTTATTTTCGAGAAAATTTTTTATTGTTTTATATTTTTGTTTTTTTTTCAAAACTACAATAATTGCAAACTTTCGTGAACATACTGATCGTGGATCAATTGGAATGCTATAAAATAAAAAACAAAATTATAATAACAATAATAATAATAATAATAATAATAATAATAATAATAATAAAATAAAAGTGTAAAAAGAAAAAAAAAATTTATTTTCTAACATTAAAAAAATGTTCGATAGGATCTCTCGGAACTCTCACTTATGTAAATTCGTTTTAAATCTTATACCTATTTTCCCATCAAAATTATCAGTATATAAACTCTATAACATAAATAAAAAAAAAAATATATACATATATAGTGGATCAAATAAGTATTGGCACACCACAATTTTTGTAAATATTTTTAATTATTGAAAAATATTGCTGACACCATGTATGTCACTTTATGTCTTTTAATGTACACTAGTTGTATACTAAAGTATATTACTTAATAATAATAATAGCAAAAATTATAAAAAAAGAAATAACAAAAATTTTATAGTAAAAAAAGTATTGGMACAGTAACCTCTCTAATCGTAGATTTTCAGTTTCTC